AGATCGAAAGAGGTACTCCCAGACTTGTCATTAATTATAAACTTCTTAATCAAGCCCTTCAGTGGATTAGGCATCCTATCCCCAATAAAAAAGATCTTCTTAACAGGCTGAATTCTGCTAAAATCTTTTCAAAATTTGATATGAAATTCGGATTTTGGCAAATTCAAATTTGTGAAAATGATAGGTACAAGACTGCCTTTACTGTCCCCTTTGGGCATTATGAATGGAATGTTATGCCCTTTGGTCTAAAAAATGCTCCCTCCGAGTTTCAGAAAATTATGAATGATATTTTCAATCCTTATTCAAAATTCGTCATTGTCTATATTGATGATGTCTTAATTTTTTCCCAATCCATTGATCAACATTTCAAACATATAAATGTTTTTATCAATGTTATTAAACAAAACGGTCTTGCCGTTTCTAAATCAAAAATCAGTCTCTTCTAAACCAATATCAGATTCCTTAGTCATAATATCTACCAAGGTACTATCATTCCGATCAGCAGGTCTATTGAGTTCGCTGATAAATTTCCTGACAGAATCCTTGATAAAACTCAATTACAAAGGTTTTTAGGATGTCTCAATTATGTAGGAGATTTCATTCCCCACTTAAATAACATAATTAAACCTTTACATGATAGGCTTAAGAAAAATCATCCCTCTTGGACTGATGTTCATACCAACGTCGTCAAAGAAATCAAAAATAGAGTCAGGAAGATAAATTGCTTATATCTTCCTATTCCTCAAGCCTTCAAAATTGTTGAAACTGATGCCTCGGACATAGGTTACGGGGGTATCCTCAAGCAAAAGATTGAGTCACATGAGCATATCATTGCATATACTTCTAAATATTAGAATTCTGCACAACAGAATTATTCTACTGTTAAAAAAGAAGTTTTGGCAATTGTTTTATGTGTTTCAAAATTTCAATCTGATTTATTAAATCAAAAATTTCTTATTAGGGTGGACTGTAAGTCTGCTAAAGAAATTTTACAAAAAGATGTAAAAAACCTTGCCTCAAAACAAATCTTTGCAAGATGGCAAGCAATTTTAAGTGTTTTTGATTTTGATATCGAGTATCTCAAAGGCACTTCAAATTCCCTTCCTGACTACCTTACCCGTGAATATTTACAGGATAAATAGAATGCCTAGAAAGGCAACAGCCCCTTCTAGGGGAGGTTCGTCCAGAGGAGGAAGAGTTAGGCTTGCCCTAACTCTCAACAAAACAAAATCCAAGTCTGTTACAACAGACTCTTGTTATAATTCTTCGGAGTCATCCACTCCGGCTGAGTCATCCACCCAGAAAGCCATCCAGGTTGTAGAGTCATCTACTTAGCAATCTGTGATTCCTAAAAAAGACTCATCCAACAAGGTTGATCCTTCCCAATCGCAAACAAAGAGTGTCAAACAAACCAAAGCAGATTATGTTTTCCCTGTTAACACACTTCTAGCCATACAACAAGGTAGCCTAAACAGCCTACCAAAGAAATCCTGGGCAGACATTGCCTCTGATGAAGACATGGAAATTGATTTAGCAAACCTAAACACTATTATCCAGTCCTTCAGCCAGACACAAAAAACATTAAGTCTCCCAGACAAAACAGAAAAAGCCATCAGTCTTCAAAAAGGTAAAACTCCAAATACCAACCATTATATGGCAAAAGGAAAATTCTCCACTGTCATACAAATGGAGCCCGAATTTTGGGACAAAAACCCATACAAAGCCATCACCAAAGCTTTCCCTCCTGGTTTTCATTTTAGACCATACGCCTTGAATAAAACCAGACAATTTTATGAGTTTATATTAATAGATTCAGATTCTGTCTCTATTAAACATTACAAAGACCAAAAAGATCCTTCCGTAATCACTCATTCGACTATACAGATTTTGAAAATCTTGTCACCAAAAAATTTTGGAAACAATCCAAATGCACTTAAGAAATTCTCCCAACCTTTTGATCCGGTCGGATACAATTACTGGGACTACATAGATGCCTGGACAAGAACTTTTTAGTTCCAGAACAAACTCAATCGACACTCTTGGTTGATTTATTTTAAGAAGAATCAAAATTACAATTTTCCTAATTGGTTCCTTCAATGGTGGGACTTCTTTGGACCATTAGAGGCAATCATTCCCTCTCCGGTAAAAGAAGGATTTGAAATATTCAAAACCAGATATGCCCCTAACAGAATTGGAGCAGATCTCAAGTATTTCTCTGCTTTTGCAATGGCCTGGGTATTCTCATGGCAGTACAGGTATAGCAAAATAGATGAAGATGATATTCTTCCTATGATTCACAGACATGCCTTTGTGCAATGGTGGAATCAATTCAATGCAGAACATGCTGGACCTCAAGGAGTTAATGAGTTCTTTGGAAATAATCCAAAACTCTTAAAACTTGTTGATCCTACAACTTTCCAATTTCTGAATCAGAAAGCAAAAATTGCAGCATTTCTATCAGGATGTGATTCTAAAGATAAAATGAAGAAAAATTTAAAAGAAGTCCTTCTTCTTCTTAATCAAGATGAAGCCGAAACTTCTACCAAGCAGGAGTCCAATCCCAACAAAGATGACGACTTCTATCAAAATGAAGATGATTGTTATGGAATAGACATAACAGATTTGTAACCGGCTCTGTACAAATAGTTCCTGTTATTTACCGGAACTATACAAACAGTATTTTAATTTTCTATATAAGGAGGTCTCGACCATATTGTGAGGTACCCTTTCATATAGCAAGTTTAGAGAGATTTAGAGAGAGAAGCTCTGAGAAATAATCCTTTGTAAGCCTTCCTCTTTGAGATCTTTTCAATAAAATTTGCTGTTTCAAGTTATTTTTCTCTCTTCTCCCTCTTAGCCGGTTCTGTTTGGACTACCGTCGTCCGGCTTTCTTCTCCTCTCCCCTCACTAGATCTGTGTTGGTTCTACCACCGATCTAGTTTCTTATGTTTTAATTTTGGATTTTACATACTGCACTTTTAATTTCTGCATTTCATTTTCTGTTAGTAGTCCTGCTACTGCCTACTTTCCTTTCAGTCAATATAACTGTTATTTTTTGTTCCCTTGATCCACTTCGGGGTTATATATATATATATATATATATATATATATATATATATATATATATATATATATATATATTTGTAAAGTCTTATAGGAAGATTTTGGATATTAAAATCTAAAAAATTGAAATATTCTTAAATTTAATCTCCAAAAGTAGGATTAAAAGAAATTTCTAGAAATATGATTTACAAAATTTAAAAAATTAACTTTTAAAAGTCTCTCCTTTGTTCTTAATTACAGAAATTAGTTTACGAAAGTGTATTAAATATGACATGCTTCCAAAGTTTAATTTTTGAAATTTTTTGGCATACATGAAAATAGTGCTTCTTTTACTTGTCGAAAAATATATTTGTAGTAGCTTTTAACTACCACAAGTTGTCTTAACTGTAAATTTTTTAGTAACACTTTTAAAAATTAATTTTTGGAGTGTAAAATATCATCTTAGTTTAGATACTTATTTTTGGAAATGTAGAATTTTAATTTTAAAAATTTAGAGGATACATGATTTCTGTTTTAAAAATAAATCGTTTTAAAAAATAAAATTTAATACAAAAATTAAACATGCTCTTATTTTTAGGAAGAATTAAGAATTTTGAAGATTAATTTCTAAAAATATGAAAATATAATTTGAAAATTTTATTTGAGAATATCTTTTTAAACAAATATATAATTGTTTTTAGTAGGATTGTGAAAAGAAAGAAAAGAGGTGAAAAAGTAGCGCCTTTCATTGACTTACTCTCCAGACTCCAGGCTTGATAGACCCCAAACAATGGGCTCCCCGCTTAGACTTACGCTACGTACTTCTATTTTAAATTTGTTTATATGGCCCAAATTGTACATATACTTTACAGGAAATATATTTTGCATCACTTTTTTTTTTCCCGCTATTAGCATCACTTTTTGTGACTTTTAAAATTTAGTTTTTTAAAACATCTAATATATTCCAAGAACTGAATTCCAAAATTTATTTGTAAATCACTTTGAAAATTTAATTTGTGAAAGTGATTTTATATCTTCTGAAAGTGAAATTTTGAAATTAGCTTATAAAAGAATTTTAAAATTTAATTTTAATAATATATTAAACACGAGTTTTTAAACATACTTTTAAAAATTAAATTATAAAATAAAAAAAATTGGTATGAACAGAGAAATTGATAATACAAAAAAATAACATCCTACTTTACATTATTTGCACATCTTGCTTGATTGGCAATGTTTACGATACATTCTGCAATTAAGTGAAGGTATTCATGAAGTTGACTTTCTGAAATGCGAACGAAAGATATCAAAGGAAATTAATTCAAAAATCAAAAGTTTTCGGTTAATTATTGCAAAATTACGACATGCTTTACGTGAATTCATAGAGGCAATGTTGTGTATGTTACTATCTTGCCCCCGTACAGTGGAACAGAATCTAGGGAATTGTTTTTTATTTTTTTGGTTATTTCTCACGAGTAATTCACCATGTTACCCACTAAACCCTCTCAATTAAGTCTCTTACCTAAGAATTATGTTCAAGAAATTAAACTTTAGGCATATCTTTTAATGTAGATTTGAACTGCGTGACATTGTAACCCCCTAAACCCTTCGGCTGGACCCAACTCCCGTTAGTATCGATAGAATTTTATTTGACCAAAGCTACTCTCAATGTTTATTTCCTAATCTGATTTCTTCGAAGTTAGCAAATATGTAAAATAAGAAAGTAAGAATGTATTCATCATTAACTGCAATTAGACCATCTTATAATTATAATTAACTTTGAATAAATAAAAAATACACCCTTACTTTTTCATTTTACACATTTACTTGCTTTAGAAGAGGCAATTTTTCATTATTTCCAGTTGATAATTAGCATAACGATTTGAGGTAGAAAGTTGACATAACCAACGGAAAATTCACGGTCTATTCTTGAGGAGAGAAACTAAATGAAAATATATTTAATGAATGCTAGTATCGTCCTTTTGTATTTCCATTATTTTACCTGATATGCCTTCGGCAAATCTACGAAACTGATCAATTTCTGAAACACTAACTCTACTTCCGGACTTACCGTTCTTCCTACATTGCACCAATCTTACAGCAGCATTAATTTTTTCAACAATTTGTGGAAGTAGCTCAGCTGCATCGTCTAAAAATTGAGCCACAGCTCCGGTTGAAACCTCTTCCCCATAAAACTTTTCTAGTTTTGTAAGTAACTGCACAGCATTCTTAGCTGCTGCATCCAAGCTACCAAATGCTTCCTTGCATGCGGCGATGGTTTCTCCCCGATCATTCCCTTTATCAACTGAATTTTCTTTGACAGGGAATTTGATTAATTCACATGTTGAATCTGCTAAACGTTGTGCTGAATTCATGAGGTCCTACAATAGGCATTTTGAGCAGTAAATATTTGAGAGAAGTCATTCATGGGGTTACTTTCAAAATAAATTAACACTAACAGGCTTTTTCAAATACCATTGTTAAGTATTAAAACAGAAAGGATCAGTTTAAGAGTCAGAATGCATAAAATATATCAAGGAAACTGGTTTAAAGTACTACTGTTTATATTATTATATTTATTATACCAAAACAGCCTAAATGAACTATGTTATTGTGCGGACTCAGCAATGCTCAATGAAACATGACACCATTAGAAGTAACTGAAATAACAAAATAACTTTCCGTTCGCAACCAATCCTAATATTCTTTAAAGGACAAAAAACATCATGTTCGATCTCTAAAGGAAGCCATGGTTGATAAGTTTGTACAACGCCCTCATTCATACCTGCTGAGAAGAATTTCCAACTTCCTCAATTTCCTTCACCTGAAAGGATTTTTCTTCTGATATAATAGCAGTTGCACTTCCATCCTCAGAGCTCTTTCTGTCATTCATTTTCCTGACAGGACTGCTAAATAGTTTCTTGCAATCCCCTGGGTAATCCCATTGCACAGTATATCTTGCTGAAAACTTTCTAACTAAAGAATTCCTTGACTTTTTCTGTCACAGATAACAAACTAGGTAAGAAAAAAGAAAACAATTACAAGCTCAAGAAAACCTCAGCTATGGTAGCCTATATGAATTTTAAGATATCTTACTCCATCAAGTTTTGGAGCATCAACCTCATCTGGGTATATTTTTATGTCCAAAATTTGTCAAATTTTTTCATGAAGAAAGCATTTTATTTTTACACGAAATTAAATTTTACTGTTATAATACTCAACTTTTCTTGAATCCATAGGATACCAATCTCTTTTCATTTTTCTTGCTCAATGCGATTAACAAACAAAAATCTTCACAAAAGTAATGACAACCTATTGCGAAGGACCTGTGAGCTGCGAAATTTGTTGCAAGAAAAAAAACTGACATATTCATCCTCCACAAGCCCCTTTCAATGATATTCCTAATAAGATCATGAATGACATGTTCAGAATTGATTGGTTTTCATCTGATACATTAGTCAAGAACATGGAAATTTGTGCTACTAGTACATTTATAAAGACAACAACAAAGCCTCAAGGTAGGTAAAATCGACTACGTAAATCACTTGACATTGGGCTCAGCCAAAAATCAAATTTTCAAATATATTACTTATCATAAGATCCATTATGATTATTTTCTCCAAGTTTCTTTTTGGTCTGGCTCTATTCATGTTCCTTTGAACTTTATAGCTACTATTCAATCATAAATAACTTCCGATATTTTTCTCTAAGTTATTAATCTTGGATAGCAGCGTATAGTGGCTAACGCCAAAAATGCTATGACAGAATGACTGCTATTTAGAAATTTTATATATAAAATAATTATACTATATGCATAAATGCTAAAAGATTTAAAAAAAAAAACTAAAAATCCATGACATTCATAATTAAAATAAGAAGTCATTTCCTAGGCAAAACATAAAAGTATTTTTAGGGCAAAGTAGAAAAATCCCCCAAAGTAGTGCTTTTTTAGGGCAAAAATGATTTCTTTTAAGTTTGACTCTAGCACCGCCACTACAGCTGCTATTTAAAACCGCTCCACTATTCATAATCCCGGAAACTGAGCCGCTAATTTGTTTGCTCTGCTCCACTATATCCCGCTATTGATAACTATGGTTTTTCTTTATTTTAAGCATCTAACTTGTATTTTGCTTTAAATCTTCATTTATGAAGCAAAAGATAATTATTATTTTTAAATAGAATCAACATCATAAACCAGATTTATTAACAAAATTATATTCTGAATTTCATAATAAGCGGCAACACTGAATTTCCCTAGAAAAGCATGACAAACAAAATCATGAGATTAATCCAAAGTTGAAGAAACAAGACATTCATTTTTAAATTCCTTTTTTCCAAGAGATAGCCTATTATTACATATTACTCATTGCAAGCAAGACTAACCTTGTGTGTATTTGATAAGCTACCAAAATGTTGCTTAAACATGTCATTGTCTTCTTCAAAGAGCGGATAGCCCAAATTTCCTTCAATAGTTGTTTTTGATACACTTCTGGATTCATTTAACAACTGCTCAGTTTTACCATCAGAAACTTCTTTAGAACACCAAGAAACATCATTATTGTTGCCACCAACATGTTGGCCTGAAACTAGACCCATCTTTTCCTTCTTGCTAAGGCTACTAAGCCCAAAGGAGTTCTGGTCATCACTGATCACATCACCATCTTGTCCTGCAATAACCAGTATTTATAAGGTTAGAGCATAATTTTTTTGTAAGTTCAAGCCAAAGGTTTATTGTTGTGGGAATTGTGGTGTTTTAGCCATTGAGGGAGGAAATTGTGAGAAGAGGGAGTTTGAATGATATTTTTCAGTATTATGATGAATTACAGTGTGATTATATCCAAAGCACTAACCCTTATTTATATTAATCAGAATCCTAACTAAACAAGGGAAGAAATCATTATATTAGGAAATGGGGAAACTAAGACTATTAAATAATCTCTTAGATAGCCTAAAATATTCTAAGATACAATATAGATATTATTGGATCTTATAAATAATTTTAAAGTAAACCTTCGATTTAATCTGTGAATTATGTAGTACTAGTATCATTTAAATTAATCCTCTAAATTAAAAATTTTAGATGTTAGTTCCTAAGATTAATCATTGTCATCAAGTAATGTTAGAATTGAGCAACATGGTGATAATTTGTTGCGTTAAGTGACACATCACTATCCATGTTGGACACAAAATAGTGTTACTTTATTACCACCCAAAAATAGTTCATTTTCGTCCTTAACTTATGAAATTTCTGAACTTAAACATCATCTTTCCTTCTTCCTAATTTTATTTATCCTTTTAGCTGCTTCATTTTCTTCATTGGCTGAGCAAACCCACATCCTTCACACTTACCACACTGTTTTCCATGGCCTCTTCACAGTGCTCATGCACCAACAAGTTGCATACATAAGCCAACACCATTTCACACCACTTGCTCCCCTCAGTTCCTTGGTCCCCACAACCAACAAAGGCCCCTGATCTAATCTGAATCCAACTATGGCACAGAAACAATCATTAGAGTCTTCAACATTGACATAACGAGCGTCGAAGCTCCTTCAATTTGAACCTTCATGCCATTCCTCACTGCTGGAATGGAGTTGGCAAAATCAGAATAAGATGCTCAACCAAAAATTGCAACCAAAAGCTCATCGGTGCAAGATTCTTAGAGCCCTCTCAATCCCTTCAATGAAATTGTCAAATTCTCAACAAAGACAAAAAGGAAGCCAAGGAAGAAGATGAAGTGCAGGAAGGGATAACTATTGGGAAGAAGAGGAAGGATGTTAAAACATAATTATTTTGTGTCCAACATGGATGTCAATAAATGTCACTTAACAAGAGAAATCATCACTATATTACTCAATTTTAACAATAATTTGACAACAAGAATTAAATTAATTAACGGTTCTTAATCTTAGGAACTAATGTTTAAAAATTAAAGGACTGATTTCAATGTCACTGCATATTTTAGGAAATAAAGTGAAGGTTAACTCATAATTTTAAGATATTTTAACATATGACCAACCAAGATACGACTAGGTACTTTCATATATTGTAACAATTATTTGTATCATCCTTAGCTTCGATGCTAGGAATCATGGCATGCATTTTCCATGCTCAAAATCATAAGCATTGTACAAAACCTGGAATATACCATCCAAGGAGCCAAGTTCACATGGGAAAAGATAGTGAACTTAGACAGATGATGTTAACAATTCTCCAATAGAATTTGTAGAAACAGCACATATTTCACATTTCACATTTCAATGATCTTTAAAATGATTGATTAACTCAAATTGGCAAGGATGCACATAGCACATCCACAATCTGGAGAAAGTGGCAGATTTGATTATTAACACCATATTAATTATTGATGTCATTGCTTATGACGAGGACTTTAACAGCTTTACAAGGACAAGCCCAAAAGATTACAGGGATGTAACACATTATTTCTTCTATCACAAAATAGGACTATATTGACATTTTAAAGGGATACCACAAGTTGAGATTCAGGTACTTGGGATCATACTTGTTAACAACACGCCGGCACGGCATGACTGTTGGCCGCCACATCACAGGGTGTTTGGCACATCGCGGCAGATGCAGGTGTTCACGGCCAAAACAGGGAGACATTCGCGTTGCGACCATGTAATTGAGGGGAAAGAAAGAAACCATGTTCTATTTTTTATAAAACGCACAATTTGGATTATTTTAAAGGGTAGAAAGGTTATTTACCCTTTATAAAACATATATGTTAATTTCATCTTCCCCATGCTCTCCTCTCTCCACAAAATATCCAAGCTTCGGCGTAGCTGTTTCTCCCCTTCTCACCAGCTCACCAATTCCATTTCATCCAAGAAATCAGCTTGTTCGGAGGCTCACCTGCTCCATTTCACCGGAGGAATCAACTTTTACGGCGCCTCCTCTCCGACGTATCCTCTATTTTTTTATTCACAAGAGAATTAGTTTTTTTGTGTCTCCTCTATTTTCCTGTTCACCGAAAAAAACAAACTTTCCAGCGTCTTCTCTGTTTTTCTGTTCATTGATCACTCCTGCTTGAACTTTATCATGCGAAAGCATTTTTTGTTTAATATAACACTCAATAATGTAGTGTTCTGCATTTTTACTTGAAATGATGATTATGTGATTAATTTTGAAAATTCTTGAGCATTTATACTAAAATTTCGTGTACATAACATATTATATATGCATATTATAAATTTTTAAATAGCGGTCATCTTACTGTATGTTATTCCACTATAGCATTTTAGGAGTCAGCCGCTATCCAAGATTAATAACTATGTTTGGGATTGATTATACATAATGATGGAGAAATTAATGAAGATGTCACTCATAGAATACAAGTTGCGTAGTTAAAGTGAAGAAAGACATTTATTTGTAACCATAAAATACCTATTATCAACCTGAAAAAAAAGTTTTACCATACTACAATACAATCAATTATTTTATATGGTAGTGAATGATGGGTTTAAAGGAACAACATAAGAAGAAAGTAGAAGTGATAGAAATGAGAATCGTAATGTGGATGAGTGGTTGCACAAGTTAGCACAGGATAAGAAATGATAGTATATAAAAGAATATTAGAGTAACACCTATAGTGGAAAAGATGACTAAAAATCGTCTAAAGTAATTTAGTTACGTAAAGAGAAGACATTTGGAGACACCAGTAAAGAGAGTGGATTGCATAACTTTTAGTCCGATAAAAAGAGGTCAAAAGAGACCCAAAAAAATCTTAGACAAGGTCATTAAAAGACTTTGATTAACTAGATTTTTGAAAATTTAATTTTTAACTGAGTTCAACGGCATCGTGTGATCCATGGACCTTACCTAATGAGACAAAATTTGATTGTTGTTGTAGTATTGAAATTTTATAAAGGGATAGTGATTTTCAAACCATCATGTAATATTTCCTAATCAGAGAAAGGTAGCAGAGGACCTTGATAAAACATTTGACAAACTATGGGGCCATGCACAAGCAATTGTATCTGCTATTAATACTTGGTTTTAGCAGTGAAATTTTCTGAATAGTTGTCACAAGTATGAAAAGGGTTAAGTTCTACGAGACATATTGTGGAACATAGAAGCATTCCTTCAAGGAGATTGCATTGTATGTACATATTTGAATAATGTAAATTCACTAAATTGGACTGTCTAATTTTGAAAAATGGATTTGTCTAAGGCTCCAAATTTGCAGCACTTTCTTGTATACCATTTTTTGAGGTTATGCAAGAGGAGTAAAGAAGGCAAATGCTACTTTTCAAGAACAAATTGATCTGTATTCCATTTAAGAAAACTATAGTTTAAAGAACTTTGTGCTTGGCAAAAATACAAAGTCAATATATCATCTATGCACCAGTGCTACAAACCAAATATACAAATATATTCCATTTACCAGCCTTATGTGTTGAAAACTATACCAAAGATTGAACCAAAAAGACCTCCAACTCCCAGTCATGGGTCAATTGGTTCCGCGTTTATATACGTGACTCAACTTTGATTAAACCATTGTTGAAACAAAGACAATAGGACTATTAATTCATGGTCCAATGAGTTTAACCAGGCAGTCTGGTCAGGTTTTTAAAACACTACACCAGCCCCTATGCTTGCAATACCAAATGCCAATTATCTATAAGTTCATTCAAAACTACACACAAGCAACTATAGCATATAGCCTGAAGATTATTGTTTAGTGTACACTAGCTTTTGTCATCAAAATCATATTGATCTTAAAACCAAATCTCAAAGGAATTTCGTTGACAGATTTGGTCTTCTGTCCAATCATCAATAAAGGCAAAATTGAGAGAAATATGACGTGAGCATAAGGGTTTAACTTACTTATACTCAAGGGAATCTCTGGAAACTTTGTCTCACATAAATTCTGCATCTCTGGCGAGGAAAGTGCTTCCATACAAACAGTATAAACAGAGTGCCAACAATTGTCCGAAGCAAAGTTGCTGAAATAATAGTGACTTCATGAACTGATATGTCACCAAAAGTTTATGATTGAGATTTGATTTGAGATTCAACACTTACCTGTAAGTTCCTCCAGACCTTGAGTCTTGAGAGTTCACACTCTCAGGAGACAGAGAAGCCTGATCTGATGGAATTTGAACTTGTGGAGATGAAGGAACTTGTGCCTGATCATCATCAATGTAAGAGATATTAGAGTTGACTTCTTGACAAGATCCTAACATCGTATGCTGCAATTAAGGAGCTAAGACAGATCTCATGTTCCAGGATCTAGCACCTATATTATAGACACCAGTACAATAGACTCCCAACTTTTAAAACCTACATCAACAAGAATTGGCTAGATTTCACGCAAAATATGACATGTGAATCCTCAGTCAAGAAAGCTAGTCATAGATGTGGCTCTGACTTAATATCTTGTTACACCAGAATGAGAACAGTAGCCATCATAAGCAGATGCAGATTTGGTAAACACAACAATGCCAGAAAGATCACTTGCCAGAGATGTAGCAACAGTGACTCAATTTTCTCTTCTACAAATCAGAAGGAACACACTCAACTAGATTTAGCCCAATTTCATTATACGAAGGACATAGTTTTCGCTTGCACATTTTAAAACTGATTTGTTTGTTGAAACACCAATTTCCAATCACAAATAATTAACATGTACCCTTCAGTGATGGAGATATATCTATCATAGAACATGGTGACCAATACATGTAGTTCTATTCAAGTACAGATCTCCAATTCTAAGTGATTTCCATTAAGACATAATCAAACTTCTGCATCTTCAAAACACCACTGTGGGTAGGAGGATTGGGAGATTAAAATACAATTGAGTTTCTCAAAAATGATAAGTAATCCAGAGTACATGTACCTTTGATGAAGTGCAATTATTAAGATTCTTGCTATCACTATTGGAGCTGGTGACTTTAGGTTGTGCCCATCTGGGAAGTCTTGAAACACTAAATTTAAAAGATGAAACCTCTCTATGACTGCTTTCTGGATAAAGCACTTGATCTCCACTTTGACTGTTGTTCTTCACTGACCAAACATCCTCACGATTAACCTTTGAATGCTGGCATCCCTCTTTGTAAAATGACAGATGACTATGCGCAAGAAGTTGAACAGAGCTTCTTGGAGACAATGGATTATATTTTTCCATTATTCTATCAAATATTTTAGAAGACAATGGAGTCGGCAATTTCCATACAAAAACACAACCATTACCATCCACCTGAATATTGATTGATATGTTAATAAAAACTATGTTAATGATTACAAAAGAGAGGGCATCAATGTCATTTTCTTTTCTATCATTATGACAAAAGTAAAACCTGCTCAAGTTGCGTTTGGCAAAAATAATTTATAAACTAACTGAAGCTAAAAAGTTAGCTGAAATATGAAAAGCTAATACTTTTAGCTAAAAGATGTCATGCTAACGTATTAAATTAGAAGTACTTGATAAAGTATTAGTTGTTGGCAACTTCGCGTTGTATCACTACTAAATGATAAATGTAAGATGATATAAAAGAACATATTTATATGTTTTCCACATAAACTCTATTTTTATTTTATAGACAAAAATATAATTTTATGTAATTATATAGTTTTAGGCTTTTTAAGTTTATTTAAAACTCTTCTCATTTTTTTTAAAGAAAAGATATTTCATTAAATATCAAGTAATCAAATAAATAGAGGAATAATTAAAATAAACAGTGTAATATTAAAGGAAAATTTAATTAAAATAAAAAGTGTAATATTAAAGGAGGGGTAAATGAGGATTTTAAAATCAAAACATAATAATATACTAAATTATAAGCTCAAATGTTAATCCAAGTAGCATTTGAAATTTGAAAAAAACATTATAAATTAATGAGATAAACTCTTTTGGTCAAACAAACATATAAGCTAAATTAGCTAATTAAATACTTCCCTCGACTCTTTTTACAATAAACAAATAATTAATCCATCAAGACTAATAAAATTAGTTATATATTATAAATTTATATTTTACTCCAAAAATACACAAAGTATTAAATAGCTGAATTGGTGATTTATATTACAAACAATTGAATGCATCTACTAGCATGGAAAGTGGGTGAGTGCCTCATTGATATAAAACTCAATAAAATAAAAGGAATTATCAATTAATACATCTGAAAATTAGTTTATGTTGCTTATAAGTAGGATCAAGAAAATACTTCTTATTGTTTCTTCTAAAGAACTGGAGCAAGTTATAAGCTAGATGAAATAACTAGCCAAACACACTCTTCATCAAAGTCCAAACTACTAAAGAATTTGAATAAGCTGAACTCCACATCATTTATTTGGTGTTATGCACTGGGGAAAAGAATAACTTTATGAAGACTTTGCCATAGTTCTATTTCTTGATTTTGTGTTATGCTACTTAGTTCATTGAGAGACATAATTAGTTAAGACTTCTATTATTTTATTCATTGGTTTATTTGAAACTTATGTATGCCTTTATAAGAATTGTTATGCTACTATTTTGTTTATTTCAGAATTAAGCTGATGTTAGTTAAGAATTTTTATATGAAATGAATTTCCTAATCGCATTTCAACATTTATTTTATCATGTGAATTTTTCTTTTAAATGTATGTGAGACCTATTGATTCACAGAACCAACCCAACGCATGAACAACCCTAATTTTTCTCTTTAATGTGCATTTAATTTAGCTCATATTTGGGAATTCAAAGAGGACTCGTTGCAGAAAATCATAGAAAAGCAACGCCTAAAGTTTGTCCACCCAAAGTCATGTGACACAGAAGCAAAAGAACTATTTAAGTCAAGAACAACTAAACTAATCTCTTTAACAAGATAAAATGCTAAAGACATTCTTGCACAACAGAAAAACCAAAAGAAAAAGATAAACATTTCATGAGAAGACTAGAATCATTTTACTTGGTGAAACTATGGCAATGGCATCAAACTACCAATTGAAAGTCATTAAATTAAATCAAGAGCTACCTTCACTGTTGAGTGTTGTGTGAAAATTAAGAACACTATTATTGATCATGGAAGTAGCATCTAAAAGTTTGCAAGTATGCCTTGTCCATCCCCCTTTACAACATAATTCGTTAATGCTATATATGTTTTAAACAAATGCATGGGATACATTTCTGTCAACAAATGTTTAAACAAATCCATGGAATATTTAAATGTTATACTAATAGATGATTTAACAAATGCACAATAATTTCCTCAAATTAAACAAATAATTCAATGGTTATAAGGACTTCACTTTAAAATTGCATATTGCTACCTAAAAGAAGTGTAAGCAAAATGAACAGTGAGCATGAAGAAATCTCACCGACACTATATGCTTGCAATCAGGCAAAAAAATGACACCAGTAATAATTTCAGCATGCCCTGTGGCCTTCGCAACCATCTCTCCCGTGATAAGGTCATATATGCAGATGGACTTGTTAGAGAATGAGCAAACCACATAAGTGCAGCTTGGATCCATAATTACCTGTTGACAATATTAGATCCTGGTAAAGAAGGATGATATCAGCTATGCTTTTCTAATAATGAAGCTCACCTTTATAGGTTCTCCAAAATTTTTATCGTGATTGTATGACCTGGTTAGTTTCTGAGCAGCCATGTCAAATGTCTTTATCTTCTTATCCTGAGTATGATAATGATATTAGTAATTATATGCACTGAATCTGCAAATTATGAGTGATAATCTGATCAAATTGACATATGAACAGAACTACATGGACTAATTGTTTTAGAATTCACTTGGAAGGTCTTCCACAACAGGCAACCATCCCTTGAACTTTGATGTCTTACTGTCAACAGCCATCTACTTTACCTGCCCAACAGTAACAACAGTCTCACATGACATATCCACAGCCATGTCATAAACAGTTCCACGTTGTGAAGCCTTTTGACGATGTTGCTGTAAAATTTTATAACCATTATCTGCTTTAGCTACATCACGAACCACCAGGAAACTGTATGAAAGAAGGATTGTGTTATTGTTAATCATAGAGGAAATCATTCAATTTCATAAATAAAATATTGGGTTCACTGGAATTTGTTTTATGGCAAATAATTTGAAAATCAGAAATGTGATGGTCACATAGAATAACAAAATGACATATTCTAAATAAATTTATGGACACTTCCGTGCAAATCATAGGGTACTTCAAAGTGCAGATTTTATGGATCTGTATCTGGCATATATGAAAACTGCTTCATAGAGAACAACATTCAAGATTAGGGAGGAATTAATTAATGGTTCAAACAGTTTTCCTTTAAAATAACAAATTAGCATAGAAGCAAATTATATTTTATATTTTTCGAGAATATGATGTGATAGAAACTTTCCAAACATTTTCTTTTTAGTGTATAAATTACTTTTCAGTTCCTGCCATTCTCAGCTTGGTTTTTAAAGGGGATAGATCTGCTTTCAGACCAATTCAGATCAACTGAAAATTACAATCCTAATGTTCTTTGTAATTTGCATGCAGAAATATAGCTAAAAATTCAAAATTGATTCAAAGATTTGAAAATTAAATATAGTGGTTCAATGTGTTAAAAAACTTAAGCCTAACTCGCTCTCAAAAGCTAACTCATAGGAAGAGGACCACACAAGCCCTTATAAGGAATATTCTTTCTCTATTCTTAGCATATGTGCGACATCTTAACTCACGTCCCTCATGCCCTTGGACATCTAGTACATGAAGTTTCCAGGACTGGACAATTACAAATAGCCTAATAGGACTGGATAGGTTTTAATATCATGTTAAGAAACTTGGGCCTAACTCTCAAAAGTTAGTTTATTCAGGAAAACTACACAAGTCCTTATAAGGAGTATTTTTGCTTTATTCCTAACCAATATAAAACATCTTAACACAATATATGGCAAGGAGCTACACAAACTAATTAAAAGTTACATTCACCTGAATTTACAAGTACATAACCAGCAAACCTATCAGCTATTGCATTATTGCTATAAGTCATAGTACACAAATAAAATAATGAACTGTAACTTGTTTTGGCTTCAATGGATGTCTTTCTAGTACATTATGATGCAATAATACTTGTGAATTGGAAGGCACTACTAGACAACATTTTCCAAATGCAATGGTGTCGTTTGATCCATGTAGCCAACCTCACCTAGTGAGATAAAGCTTAGTTGTTGTTGTTGTAGTCATTATCCATAAGATTTATGAAAACTTGGATTTTGATCAAGATCCTCACCTAGTGGAATAAGGTTAAGTTGTTGTTATAGTCATTATCCTTAAGAGATTGATAATGTTTAAATTTATCTAACTTTTTCTACCCAAACAGAATCAAAACCTTAAGGCGGAAATTTTCAAGAATGTTTGGTTTCAAAAAATGTTTTGTTATCATTTTCTAATTATCTGTATTCTATTCTCTAAGAGATATATAAGACTAACAAAAGAAAAAAAATCTAGAGATTTGAACCAAGATAGATATACAAAAGATGAATAAAGAAAAGTTTTGCTTACAAATCAAGACATCAAAAACAGATTAGAAAATTATTTCTACAAACCTTTTAATGACGGATAAAGGACAAATGCAAATATAGAATAAACCCCACATTGGAATTCCATAGTTTCAATGACACTCAAGTCTCATACCTTGCAATTAGATTCTAACATCTCATCACACTCTGCAGCCTCAGACCTTACCCGGGCTAGCTGTGCACTAATCCCATTGACTAGTACCACAAACATTGCAATGTCGACATCACCAACTGTTCTACTCATTTGCAATTGAGAGACATGATGAGAAGCTCTAAAATACCAATTGATAAAACTTTGAGAGAATTACACTACAAAAGCTAGTTGTTGTAGTTAAGATCCTAAAGCCTTATATAAACCCCACATTGGAATCTCATACTTCCAATGCGGGACTCAAGGCCCATACGAGGCAATTGGATCCTAACAATTTGAAACCCAAGTGAATAAATTAAAATTGGCATATTATTATTCTTGAGAGAGAAAATATTAAATTCGTGTGTTTTAGGGCATAACGGAGTTATTCAAATTTATAGAGAAAAGTATATAATTACAAAATATACAGTTACTATATTTACAAGATTCTAATACTCCCTCTCAAGTTAGAGCATATAGATCATAAGCACCAAAATTGTTACATATGTAGTTAATCCAAGGATTCCTTAGTGATTTAGTAAATATGTTTGTTAATTGATCATGAGAATTGACAAAACTAGTAAATACTTCCCTGAACATGACTTTCTCTCTGACAAAGTGGCAATCAATTTCAATGTGCTTTGTCTTCTCATGAAATACTGGATTTGAGGCAATATGCATGGCGGCTTGATTATCACATATATGACCTCTCCGAACTTTAGTTCTTGAAGCAACTGTTTGAGCTATATAAGCTCCTAACTCGCTATAGCCATAGCTCGATACTCCGCTTTTGCACCGGACCGGGTTACAACATTTTACTTCTTACATTTCCAAGAGACAAGATTATCTCTGACAAATATACAGATTTCAGAGGTGGACCTTCTATCTATGGGAGATTCTGCCCAATCTGCATCAGAATACCTCACAAGTCGAGTGTGTCCTTTGTCTTCATACAAAAAACCCTTTCCAAGAACTCCTTTGATGTATCGAACAATACGAGTCACTACATCCCAATGTTCCTTACATGGATAGTTGAAGAATTGACTTACTACACTCATTACGAATGAAATATCTAGACAGGTAACAGTGAAGTAGTTTAGCTTCCCTACTAATCGTCTGTACCTTTCAGGATCTAGAAGAGACTACCCCTAATTTGGCACGAGCTTGACATTGGGATCCATAGGAGTGTCGACTGGCTTGGAAGTTAACATTCTTGTTTCTTCCAGAATATCTATTGCATACTTCCTTTGAAAAATGATGATCTCATTTTTGGACTGTGCTACTTCTATTTCCAAAAAATATTTGAGTTTGCCAAGATCCTTTGTCTAAAAATGTTTAAAGAGATGTTGCTTCATCTTTGCGATGCCACAATGATCACTACCCGTGATGACAATGTCATCAACATAAACAACCAAGTACATGCAATCGATAGGTGAGTGACGATAGAAGATAGAATGGTCAGCCTCACTCTGAGTCATGCTAAACTGTTGAATCACAATACTGAATCTGCTAAATCAAGCTCTAGGTGACTGCTTAAGGCCTCAGTCGACATACAAGACTAGAGGACTTTCCCTAAGCAACAAAGCAAGGAGGTTGCTCCATGTAGACATCCTCAAGTAGATCACCATGTAAGAAAGCATTCTTGATATCCAACTGATAGAGAGGTCAATGACGTATGACAACAATGGACAGGAATAGTCGCACCGAAGGCAATTTGGCTACAGCAGAAAAAGTATCGCCATAATCTAATCTGAAGATTTGAGTATAGCCTTTGGCGACAAGACGGGCCTTAAACTGGTCAACCTTGCCATCTGGACCAACCTTGATTGTATACACCCACTGACAACCAGCAACTAACTTCCCTAGTGGTAAAGGAACGAGGTCCAAAGTTTCACTATTCTGTAATACACACATCTCGTCTAACAGAGCTTGTTGCCATCCTAAATGGACATATGCATCAATTGCACTCTTAGAAATAGAAACAGAGGATAAGGAAGAAAGGCAAGAATAATAGAAAAGAGAAAAACAATAATAACTTAAAAAAATATAATGAGGAGAAAAATTACGGGTAGAACATATACCTTTTTGAAGGGCAATGGAAATGTCAGGTTCAGAAGGCGAGACCGGAAGATGAGGCGAAAGAGGTGGCTCCAAAGATGAGTCCATGGTGTTGTTAGTGCTCGGTGATTGCAAGATAGGATGAGTATGATGCTGATATATCTGCAAAGGTGGAGGAAATGGGTGTGGAGGGGATGGAGACTGCTCTGGAGAATAGAAAAGGATTGAAATAAGGACAGTCGTGGACGAGGAAGACTCGAATGTAGATGTACTAAGCGCACAGAATGGAATGAACTCAAAGAAAGTAACATCAACAAAGATGAAATACCTGCAAAGAGTAAGGGAATAAAAATTGTATCCTTTTTGAGATCGTTGGTACCCGAGAAAAACACACTTATGAGACCGAGGAGAGAATTTGTCAATGACAAGACCAAGAGCATGAGCAAAACATGTAGAACCAAAGATTCGAGGTGGTAAAGGATGAAAAGAGTGGTGGGGGTATAAAACTTGATGAGGGATTTTACCTTCTAAAATAAAGGAAGGCATGCAGTTAATGAGATAACACGCATTAAGTACTGCATCACCCCAAAATTGATGAGGAACATGAGTGGAGAAAAAGAATCCGAGTGATCTCAAGTAAATATCTATTTTTGCGTTTTGCAACTCCATTTTGTTGGGAGGTATGAGGACAAGATGTTTGATGTAACACACCATGAGATGCCATAAAGGTTTGAAATTGAGTAAACAAATGCTCATGTGCATTATCACTTTGTTAAGTGCGAAAAGGGATACCAAATTGATTTTTTATTTCATAAAAGAAAGATTGAAAAATTGAAAAAATTTATAAACGTTTTTCTATTAAATATAACCAAGTACAACAGGAAAAATTGTCTATAAAAGTGACAAAATATCTGAACCTTAATGTAGAAGAAATACGACTTGGACCCCAAATATCTGAATGAACTAAAAAAAAAGGGGACGAAGCCCACTCATAGTGCAACTAGAAAAAGAATTACAAACATATTTGCCTAATTGACATGATTCACAAGACAAAGACTCTAACTTAGAAAGACTAGGGTATAACTGTTTCAACTTATCAAGACCTAGATGTCCTAATCAAGCATGAATCAGAAGTGGAGATGTTACTGCTGAACCAAGAAGAGAGGGCTTGTTGAGCTGATAGAGGCCATGGGACTCACATCCGGAATCAATCATCCTCCATGTAATCCGGTCTTGCAAGAAAACGGAATTTTTTGTAAAAGAGATGACACAATCAAAAGACCGGATAAGTTGACTAATAGACAATAAATTAAAGAGAGCCCCAAAGACATAAAGGACATTGTGAATAGAAAGAGAAGAAAGAGGATGAATAACACCAACACCTTGGAACTGAGTTTGAGAGCCATTTGCCATGGTAACAGAAAATAAATAACCAGAAGTTGAAAGAAAAGAAAAAAGGGATTTATTATCAGTGATCTGATCGGTGGCCCCAGAGTCAAGGACCCAAGGGCCTAAAGAGTGAGAGAGACCAACGAAGCAATTACCAGTGTGTGCAACAACAGCAATGAAACCGAAGGCCTGACGATCTTCATACCATTTCAGGAAATCGTCATAGGAAGATGATGGATTTGGATCCAAAGCCAACAGCGGAGCAGAAGTGGATGAAGGAGACACAAAACTTTGGGCTACCTGGGCAATGCGAGGGGGTTGACCATGTAAAGTCCAGCATTTATCAATTGTGTGTCTCGATCGGTGGCAATGATCACACTAGGGACGTCCTTTGCCACCCATTTGCTGTGAAGGTCGGCTGGTGTTGCAAGAAACCAAAGCAAAAAAGTCAATAGGAATAGGAAGCAAAGGCTCAGAGGAGGTTTTGGCGGGGACACGAAGGAGGGTTGCCCAAGTACTGTCCATAGTAGCTTCTATGAGACTCCCCAAGATCTGATTACGAACATGAGAATATTCAAAGGGCAGACCATATAAAGCCAAAGACATGAAAAACTTCTTGTGATTGTCAAGTTCTGCATCTGGAGTGGCAGCGGGAGGAAACAATTCATTGAACTCACAGAGAAGGCTAGATATCGAGCTAAGATAGGTTGACATAAAATCCTTAATCTAATGGGCACTAAAGATAGTCATGAGATCTTCACAAACTTGGTAGAATCGCCGAGAATTGTTTGTAAAGAGTTGTTAGGCTTATGTCCAAACAGCTTTGCAAATTTTATGAGTGCGAAAGACATCACGAAGAGATGGGTGAATGGTGGCTTAGATGATACAGCACATTTGAGCGTCAACCTTTTTCCACAAAGGACAATTGGCCTCCGAGACATTGTCTGCTATTTGGGTGAGATATGTCTCATAACCCTATCCAACAAGCCAAAATTCATTGTGAGAAGACCAGGAGGAATAGGGCTTACCATTCAACTGCTCAAAAGAGAAATGACAGTGACATGGTAAAAATTCGAGTGTCGACTTTTGGAGTGCTGGAGGTAGTCATTGGTCAACAAGAAGAGAGAAAAAAAATGCCCAAACAGCAGCAAAAAAAGGCAAAACAAGGGAGAATAGATGTCCAAACAACTAACCGAGACCGAATACAGGTAGAGGAGAGAGGGGCGAACAAACCCCAATCGACGGCATCAAGAAAGGACACCAGACGCACTGTCACGCACGGAGAAAGAGGGTGGTGCGTGAGAAAACCCGACAGAGAAGAGGGCGGTGTGTGGGGGCGCATGAGGACTCCGATGAAGGCACGGTCAGCTGGGTTCGACGGACCTGACAAAAGCGACCACAACGGCTAGGTTGTTGTAGTAATCGAAGGTCAGACGGTGACAGCAGCGGCGGCGCCGAAATAGTAGGGTGAAATGTTAGAAACCGGAGATGAAACATGGTTTCCAAAAAAAAATTGGCAACGGTGAACAGTAGGTCCACCGAAAAAAAAAAGGGATTAGGGTTGCCTCTCCTTAGGCTCTAGATACCATGTTGAAAGAGAAAATATTGAATCCGTGTGTTTTAGGACATAGCGAAATTATTCAAATTTATAAAAAAAAAATACATAATTACAAAATATTCAGTTACTATATTTACAAGATTTTATAGATTCTAACAATTATATTATAGAATGAGCTGAAGAAATAAAAGAAAGTCTTAACATGATGAATAATGATAAAGCAGTCAATTCTAATAATATCTCTATTGAAGTTTAGAAATGTATGGAAAAACAAGGAAGTGAATGGCTTACTATGCTCTTTAATGTGGTCTTGAGATCTAAGAATATACAAGATCAAAGGTGATATCCAAATTTGTGCGAATTACAAAAGGATAAAACTTATAAATCATATTATCAAATTATGAGAAAAGGTAATTTGAGCATAAATTTTTAAAAAAAAAGTGAAATTACAAAGAATTAATTTGATTTTATGCCAAGAAGCTCAACAATAAAAGTTATATACCTCTTCCAAAAGTTCATGAACAAGTATTGTTACCAAAAAAAAAAAAGGATCTACATGATTTTGTCCCAAGAAAAGTGTTGTCTTGCTTAAAAAAGAGATTGTGTAACATATATTCGAGGTATACAAAATATGTATATGGGAGTAACTACAAATATGAGAATTCTTGAAAGTATATTTAAGGACTTCCTTATAAAGATAAGTTTACACTAAGGTTTTGTTTTGAGCCTTTACTTATTTAACCTAGTCTTAATCGTGCTTACAAATAACATTCAAAAAATCATCTTTAAGTACATGTTCTCTATGGATGACACAGTCCTTGTTAAGGAATCAAAAGTAGTTAACTCCAAACTTGAGTTATGGAGCCATACTATATAGAATTTAAAGGTTTTCATTTCAACAAAAGTAAAACAAATTATATGAATAACAATTTCATAAAACAGGATAAGAATCACACGTTAGAAAGTTAAAATTGGAAATGATGTAATCCAACCCTCTAATTTTAGGTACTTGGCATCGACAATTATTTGTGACACAATATTTATCAAGTTGAAAAAAAAGTTTTATTCTACTGTTATATGACTAGTTATCCTATATAATTATGAATGGTGGATTTCAAAGAACAAACCAAAATAAAAAGTGAGTGATAAAAATGAAAATGTTAAAATGGATGAGTAATTACACGAAAAAAAGACAGAGTAAAAAATAATTGTACATGCAAAAATATAAGAGTAGCACCTATAGTAAAAAAGATAACAAAAAATAAATTAAAATAGTTTGGATACATGCAAAGAAAGCAACTGAGTCATCATTGAGGAGAGTAGATGACATAACTTTTAATCCAGTAAAAAAAACCTAGAACTTTAGAAAAAATTATTAAAAATAATCTAGTTATAAATAATATATTAGAGAATTTGATTTTTTTTACCAAGCTCAATGGCATCGTTTGATTCACATAGTCAACCTCATTTAGTGGGCTAAAACTTGATTGTTATGGATGATTTCATCTTATTTCCTGTTTTTAAAGATTTATAAAGGAAACAACAACTTTTATCTATTTTCACTGTTTCTTATACAAATCTTTGAAAACAAAATATGATGAAACAAGGCGAAACTTTTGTAACTAAAAGTGAAAATAAAAAATGAAAACAGAAATTATTTATAAACAAACAGCCCCTTCTATTTCCTATTATTCAATTGTTCAGCAAAACTTGCTTAGTCCTTTCTTTTTTGTTTCAAATTTGTTGATGTTGTGATGCCAAATCTCTAACGATCATGCATACCTATCAGCACTACAACTGAGGATCCTGCAACTGTTGCTGCTAATTTTGATAGAAGTCACTGCAGCCGAATGATCATCAATGCTGTCAATGAGATCAAAATTTCTGCCATATATACTGTAAAAAGTCATTGAAATGCTTAACCAACCTACTAGGTTATCTTAAAAAATTGCAAAACCAAACCTTTTCACATCATAGAGATGAATCATACAATCTCGTCCCCCTGAGGCAAGAAAGTAATTGTTCTTTGCAATTTCCTCAGATATATTTTGGGGGGACAAAGTAAAGCTTAATGTAAGAATCTCTGCATCATGTGTACCCTGAAATAATGTGCAAGATATAAATGACCATAAAAATAATGCTGTGAACCCTTAAAAATGGTTTTACTGCACAATAATTTCTAAAATAAACTCAGGTGTCAGAGCCCACCTGAAAACATGTGTAATCCGATGTTTGAAGGTTGTATATATGAAGATTTCCTTTGCAATCACCAGCAGCAAGATACTTTCCATCTGAACTAACAGCAAGTGATCGAAATTCTTGATTGGCAAGATCTGCTGTAACTGCATCACGTTCAAATGTCCCAGCAGTTACTGCATGAATAGACAGGAAGAGCAGAACATGTGAGAAATAAATAACCTAAAGAGGAGAACTGATATTTTTTTTCCACAATTTTGAGTTACCTAAACATGAAGAACCTAATAGTTCAGTCTTCAACTCTTGAGCATCTTCTGATAAATCAGATTGCAAAGCAATATCCCATAGCCTAATTGTACCATCAGCAGAGCAAGTTGCAAAAGAAATACCCCCTGAACAACCTCTAGCAGTACATGCAAGAGATGGATCATGAATGTTTTCACAACATAGATTCTTGATATCCCATATGCATGAGGAATGTGAAACTAGCACGAAGCACTTTGTGACCTGGAAAACAAGGAGAGATTTTATTCAGCATTACCATCAATAAATTTGTACAACACCTTATGGCCAAGAAACTATGGGGAAAAGGCTGCTGCATCATCCTACTAATTTACAAGCCCTGAGCAGCAAGAATTTAATCAGTCATGAATAGGTAAGCAAATTTATGAAACATATAAATGATAATGATAAACATATCAGATAAAGCATTTACCTGATTCACATCATGGATGTCATAGATGTAGAGACTATGATCTCCATAAATAACCACTGTAGGGAAAAAGTAGAGAATACATCAACGCACAGTACAAGGTTATTTTAAATACAATTACCAAAAGAAGTTTAAGATGTAGCACTCACCAAGCTTTTCTAAGGCTGAAAAGTGACAGGCAACTGCATCAGGCAGATTAAGCAAATGCTCAGAATCTTGTTCGGGAACTATAGCATGGAAAACAGAATTGCTTTCTTCATAGAACCTTTTGGTCTTTGAATATAATATACTGCCCACATATTTTAGAGAGATATGGGTAAATAATTGGACTGTTCCATTATTGCATGCACAAGCAATTAGTTTTTCAGATGTTGATAATGCAAAAGCTTTTTGAACCTGAAAATGAGAAATTGGGAACAGTGAAAAATTACAAAGAACTAACTAACACCAGAGTAATTCCTCTAACAACTATTGATCAACTTTAAAAAGTACAGTTCATAATGGCATCATTGACTCTGCTTTATGAGTTTGCCATTGTAGAAACTAGAAACGTTATAAGAATGTTCCAGCTTGAACTTAGAACATCATTTACTTCTGCTAGGAAATTTAATTTAAGCCTTTGCAGAACAGTTACAATTTTTAGAATTTCATCCATCAAGATTTCCTCTTTGGAAAGATACTTTTGGCATGCTCAGATATATTAACAAAATGATAAAAACTGGACATACCCTTAAAGTCACAGATTTTACAACTGACATCCCAGAATCAATAAGGTATAATATGCCTGTAAATAGAAAGAAATGAATAAGGTGTGAAATGCCAGTGAACAGAAAGAAATGGAATTTAACTATAGACAATGCATTGTGTCCCTCCAAGAAACACGAATGCCTCAAAATTTCAACTAAAAGAAATCTTAATCTTAGACTTGCTCTGAACTGAATCAAACCTGAATCAGTTATCGTATATATGGGAAAGTGGTCACCAGCTTGTTTACAATTATCATAGCCACTACTCCAGACAGAAGAAGCAACAGATGTAAATGAGCTTCCTTTATGAATAGAGAGATTGGCAGGCTTTTCATGTATTGCTAATGATGTCGTTCTGCTCATCCCTCCATTTAATTGAGTCCTTCTGGAAGATCCAAGTATCCAGAATTTCAAGTGCTTCTTCCCAGCAGTTACAATAAATTTTGCATCTGATGAGAAGCTAACACTAGAGATAGTAGAACAAGAAGAAGTTGCTTGAAGCTTTTTTACCAGCTCACCACTCCGCCAGTCCCAAAGATATATATATCCCCCAACAGATACCAGATGTTTACCTTGGACAGAATACTATATAATGAGTAAGAAGCAGTGAATAACACAACTAAAGACAAGCATATGGATTGCTAAAGTGTAACCAACCATTGGGTGAGAAACAGATGCATGCAACTCCAAACTGATGACCTTTCAATTCAGAGACAATAGATGAAGTAAAAGAATCCCATACTAGTACTGAGGACTGGTTTCCTGCCTGCAAAACATAGATAGGTTACTATAAAATGTGTAAAAAATGAAGTCATTATGTGTTATTCAGTTTTTCTCAATCTTTTCCATATCCATACTAGTACTGAATAAGAAATGATCCAACTATGCATTAATCAAGATCATTTTATGAAGATCTCACGATGAACATTCTCAACCTTCACTATTATACCTCAATTTCAAAAAATTCTACTCGTGATTATTAAGCTATCATGTAAGAAGATTCATCATGCACCTCCTAGTTTCCCTTACCTATAACCAATAACCAATTCACCCATTCAACCATAAAGATGCAAAACAGATCAATACCTAGCCTCCAAAATATGCACCAGTGTACATAAATAATATATCATCTTATTCATCCTGTTTCAGTACCTTAAAATTTTGTAAAATATTAAAAAAATTCAAATGAAAATAGTAATTACAAATAAATCATAAACACGATAGCATCCTTTGTGGTGGGAAGGAATTAGAAGAGTCATAAAACCAGTGCAGCATATGACACAACTGCAGAAGCCTAAAATGCTAAACAAATATTCACCAATCTTATAAATTCACATAGGGTATGTTCAAATGTAGGAGTTTGGTCTTGGGAGGGGAAGGGAGGAGAAATTTTCCATTTTAAGTAAATGTTAGAAGAAAACATCCATATGCTTTCCTCCCAACAGCTTAAGGTTTTGAGAAAGTTGGAAACTTTCTGAATGTACAGCACGCATATCATAATCAGTAACGAGAATTGACACTTACCTCTCCAGCCGCAACAAAACGCCCATCTCGTGACAAAGCTACACAGCTCAAAGGCTTTGGCAATCTATTAGACACCATGAGGTGTGACTGAGTACACAAATTCATGTCATATATCACCACCACAGAACCTGCCAAATAAGCACATTTGGAACTCAAGGCATTCGAAGCTAAACCATTGCCATTCTTTGTTGTCAGCCCAATTACTTCCTCTAAAACCAGCTGAAAAGAGGGGGAAATTCCAAACATTAGGAACAGCAAGAGCAATTGTTCATTGTTACAAGGAAAATATCACCATTGGGTAACATTCAACAAGCAAATTAACCAAAAAATTTTACTTTGCTCGCAGTTTCTAGCTCAATTTTCTAAGGAAACAAACAGCGTTAGCTTTTGATCCTGAAAATCAAGATACATATTGCTCAAAAATAGTTCAAACATAATGAACATCCAGAAGAGCAATTGCACATTGATTTGGGGAAAAGTACTAGGAAGTACTACGCTCTACACAAACTTACCATCAACCAATTATTGTTACATTGAGTAACTAGGAATTGTATTCTCTTTGAACAAGGTCTTATGTTCCATACTTGTATGCAACAACTAAAAATAGAATGCTGAAAGAAGTTAGCCATTTAGTTTTCCATGACTCTTAGTGGCTTCTGGATTCGGAGCTTTGTACCAAACAAAATTAACCACAAAATTTTCAGTTTCTAGTTTAATTTTCCGGAGAAACTAACACTTGTTAGGGTTTATGGTTAGAAAATCAAAAGGTGCATCGTTATGTAACCCCCATAAGATTATTTGGGGAGAAAAGTCACTACTCATTACTTCTCACTACGCAAATTAACAGTGGAATTTGGCTTAAGTCACAGATTCAAGCTCGCGTTTCTGGAAAATGAAGAGGTTTTTATTTTATAGGTCGCGAAATTATAATGCACTTTGTTTTAAAAAATTTAAAAAAAAAAACCTTTGAGACAGTATCGGGCTTGTTGAATCTGCGAGTAGGCTTCATTCTGATAAGCGAACCAAGGAATCGCTAATCAAGTAACCTTGAAGATCATCTTCAGCTTCGCTAAGCTTCTTTGCATAAACTCAGTTTATAGAAAGAAAACGAGAGAAGACCGAGGAGAGAAAGAGAGGCGGGAATTTTGCACAATTGAAAATGCAAATGAAAATCGGAGTATTTTGAAGTAAAAAGAAAATGGCAGTATTTTTGGGTCAAAAAGCCTAAGCATTGGCTACTTTCAAATTTTGGTATGTACGATCAAAAAATCAAATATTATTATGGTTTCAATAAATATGATCTTAATTAATCAAAAGTTTTTAACTTTATAATATATAAAAAAAATTCTACATCACAAATATTTTTCACTAAAAATAATAATATTCAAATTGAATAATATTATTATTAGTAATAAAATTTTCCTTCAAATATTTAATATAATTACATACACTTTTATTTGAATTTCATATCATAGATGGAGCGAAATTATTCTTTCCAATTAATATTAATAAAATTAATTTTAAATTATTAAATATAAATAATATATATGATTAAATTAATTAAATTTGCAATTTTTAGATTGTGACAATTTATTTTTATTATTAATTTAATTTTTTAATTAATATAATTATTATTTAGTTTCTAATATATTGCGTATTTATTCAATTAATGTGGCACATTCTCACTTACCAATGTTTTATTATAGAATGCATTAAATTTTTGTAATTTTTAAATTTTTAACATGAATAAAGGCTAAATTTGTAATTTTATGTAGATTTTTTAAATTATTATTTAACGTACCAAAAAAAATTATTGTATTTTTTTATATAATTTAATATCTTCAAGAAAATTTATATAATTTTTGTATTTTTTTTATCAAAATATTCACAACTTATAATCAAATAAATTATTTTAAATGTTCTTCTGTTCTAAATTTACTAACTAAAACATCATTATGTGTTATGTGCCCATTGGAGTGAGGGACTTGTTATGTCTTTCAAATTTATATGGACATGTGTTTAGTCTAAAACTTCAATTCAATCTCCTTTAATGAATAATTATTTAGTAACATAATTAAATGTTATTTAGGGATGAAAATAGCCAAGAAGACATATATATGTCTTGCAAAAATAAAAAAATTCGTTGTTTTTTAATATTTACTACAGTATATTTGATCAATCAATTTTTAAGCACTTATTAGACATTTGAATTAGGTATAATTAAAAGTTAATTGTAATTAATTTTAACATAATTACTAATAGACACTAGATGGACTCTACATCAGTTTCTTTTAATTTATAATTGAACAACATAATTACTTTGAAACTCGTGCATATAATATTTTAATATTTTATGGTATATACTAACTATGTCATTAAATCTATATTCTTATAGTACATTTTGTTGTCATTTGCATTTGTGACTGGTTTATGTCTATAAAGTAGCGTTTGCATATCGTCCTTGAACAACATAAATAAAGACACAAAGACAATAAGGTTGCGTTTGGTTGCCACAAAGAGACATTGGGACAAAAACACGGAGGCACACGTATCGTATTTGGCGAGTGTCCCGCTTCAGAGACAGAGACACAAAGGACACGCGGGACACAAATTCAATGGACACTAGTGTACCTCGTGAAAATAGGGACACTGGTGTCCCAGTTGTAGGGACAAAGAGAAGTGATTTTTGAAGACAAAAATGCCCCTACTAGCTTTAAAATATTACATTCCTACCCGTGGTGCTACACTTCTCTTCTCCATCATCTTCAACCGTAGTACCGTAGTCGTGTCTGCAGCCATCTATTTCAACTGAAAGGACCCAAACTGCACCGCCATCGCACCTGTAGCTGAGGTAATGTTTGTCTTCGTTCATCAATATTCACGATGAGTTCTTTCAATTTCCAACTGCTATCATCTCTTGTGACATCTCTTTTTTGTTTTTGTTCTCCATTTAGGCTCTTCGTGGTGACCATTTGTGAGGATCCTCTAGAAAAGGTAACAATTGCTCATTGCAATCTACTTTTCATGGATAACTTTTACTGTTTTTAGTTTTTGAACATTGTTTCAAATGTTTTATTGTTGTTGTTTCTTCCTGCATAATATTGGTTGGGTGTTTATGTAGCGTATGATTCATCTGTAAATTTTCCTTTCCATGTTTAACAGTTGTAGCTTGAAATGGATGTGTTAGTGTCATTGTTTTCAGTTCTTGAACACTGTTTCAAATGTTGTTTTGTTGCTGCTTATTCCTTGCATAATATTGGTTGGGTGTCTATGTAGCTGGTTATCGAGTTGTAAATTTTGCTTTCCATTTTTAATGTTTGTGTAATAATTCCATTCTTTTCCTTGAAGAAAGCAGGTGCATACATTTTTGTTGACCTGCAATTAATCACAAACTTCCTATAGCAGTTATAGTTGTGATTCAATAGCCTGTAAAACGAATACATAGCCCAAAACAATTAGTCATTTGTAGCCTCTGTTTTGGTTATCTTGTTTTGGTATATAATTGTAATGCTAATTTGTATTTGGACAATTACACGAATATTTATAGTACTTGTGAAGTATATTTTTACTATTGGAATTTTTGTTTATCTAGTTAAACTTGGAGTGTGTATAAATGGTTCTTCTTATAAGTGCAAAATCGAGTAGACAAATCATTCTTCATTGTTCAACAGCATGCCATCCAAGCCAAACTTCTAAATTTGGTATGTTATACCAAAAAAGGACTAGTCATCTGACATTCTGCACTTTGGACAAAATTTGTGTTGCTTAATAGGAAGGGATGAAGCATTTGGACAAAATTTTGATGGTTGTTGCATATTATTGGATGAAGAGGCAAAGATTATGCAACTTCATGGTCATGGTCATGTTGAGGATGTATATGAATAAAAGGAATAGAAGTATTGATGATGGTTTCCATAGTCGAAGAGTGAACACTAATGTAGTTAAGCAAGATGCACTAGAAAGTATCATTGGGAGTGGGGGTGATAGGAATTGTATTTGGGAGTTACAGATGAATTTGAGTGCATTCTCTTCACTATGTGAATTACTTCAAATTCAGGGTGGGTTAAATGTTAATGGTCATGTTAGCATAACTGAGCAAATAGCAACTTTTCTAATGATATTGGCCCACCATAGAAAAAATCGTAGCATCCAAGTTTGTTTCTATAGGTTGGGTGAAATCATTAGTAGATATTTTAACAAGGTGTTGTGTTCAATCTTGCGTGTCCAAAGTCTTCTTCTTGCCAATGTCGAACCTGTCCCAGAAGATTATATGGATCCTAGATGGAAATGGTTTAAGGTAATATTGCTCAACACCTACTTGTGAAATGTGTATGTGAACATAATGTTTACACAATTAACAATAATTGTTTGGTTTACGATATAGGGTTGTCTAAGAGCATTAGATGACACGTACATAGATGTTACTGTGCCGGAGACAGATAAAAGTAGATATCGAACAAGAAAAGGCCGGATCTCCACCAATGTCTTAGGAGTATACAATCGGGATATGAACTTCGTCTACGTCCTTAGTGGTTGGGAAGGTCGGCATCTGATTCAAGAATACTTAGAGATGCTATAACAAAGCATAATGGATTCAAAGTCCCAACTGGTATGTTGAAATCAAAAGTTCGTAAAAAAATAACAATTAGAGTAATTCATCCACTTTTGACTTAATTGACTAACAATAGGTAGTTATTATTTAGTTGATGTTGGTTATACAAATGGTAGAAGTTTTCTAGCACCGTATAGAGGTTCACGCTATCATGTACAGGAGTGGACACAAGGAAATCGTGTGCCTCGTAAGTACAAAGAGTACTTTAACAAGAAGCACTCCTCAGCTAGGAATGTCATTGAGCGTTGCTTTGAGCTGCTTAAGAAGAGATGGGCAATTCTAAGAAGTCCATCATTCTATCCAATTAAGACACAAAACCATATTATACTTGCGTGTTGTCTGTTGCAAAACTTCATTTGAAGAAATATGGATGTTGATCCTCTGGAGGAGTCAATTGACGATGGTGATCAGATGCTAACAGTTGAAGGTACCATAAATGATGTGGAGATAATTGATTGTGTTAACAGTAACCCTGAGTGGACTCTGTGGCGAGATACTCTTGCCAATGAAATATTCGAAGAGTGGAGAAGCGAGCGTACCACCTAGAGTTATTTGTAATACAATCTTTAGCATTTATGTTATTTCATGTATGATTCTGATTGGTTATGAACAATTGTTGAGTCTTTTATGCATTGTACTCTAGAACAATTTGCAATAAGTCACTTGGTTGAACTTCAAATATGGTTCATGTGTTTATGTTATATCGTTTAGATTATACTTTTGCTTCTTTTTTTTTTTCATTGCATTTGGCTTGGACTTCTCTATGATGCTTTGGTTTATTAACATTTGTTAAGGGTAGATGGCAAAACCACTTCCTGCAATGGACAGACAGTGAGACTGAGCATTTGATATACTTTATGGAAGAATTGGTCGTAGATGGACATAGGGTTGATGCAGGTCAGTTTAAGTCTGGGGCTTTCCAAAAGCTTGTCGATAAAATGAACGACAAGCTACCTGGATGTGGGATAACGGCAAGTCACTGTAAAAATAAACACAAGTGCTTAAAAGAAAAATATCATTATGTTGCTGAAATGCTTAACTGCAATGGATTTGCGTGGAATTTGGAAAACCATTGTGTAGACATGGACAGTAGAGATGTGTTGGTGGAGTGGGGAAATGTATGGTTCAACACTTTGATTTTTAGTTTATGTGGTTGTTATTGTGAGTAGTGAGAAAATATAATGAAAGGTTGTTGTAAAAAGAATGATTTTTTTTTGTTCATGTTCACAACTAAGCTGTAGTTATTTCTCTATACAACTGATAACAATGGTAGTCTATTTCTTTGTGAAATTTCAAAAAAAATACATTCATCCTTTATACCATATTGATTATCGAGTTGTTATTTTTTGTGATAATTCCAACAGCCATATGTCCTATTTCAGTTCCTGTAATCATAGTTAAGGACTTCAATCATTACTTTTGTCATAATTCTAATAGCCATATGTCATATTTTAGTTCTTGCAATCATATACTCATGTTTTTGTTTTTGTTAACATTGTAGAGCCACCCTAAGAGCTTATACACACCTGGCAAACCATTTTCCTTGTACGAGCGATTGAGGGGCATCTTTGGCAAAGATATGGCAAATGGAGCAGATGTTATAAGTTGTAATGATGCAGAGGAAGAGCTACAAAATGAGTCGGCAGCTGAAGATTATATAGAGGACCCATTTGGTTTCGACCCAGCTCCAATTGAGGTTGAATCTACAACTCTACCAGTATCAACAGCTGATACTGCAACCCGGAAGCATCGCCAATCAACTGATGATGCCAGCACGGAGAGGTTAGCTAACTGATTCAATGCAGTTCAACGAGAGGATGTCAAAAATTTGGTTGATGCAATTACTAGCTTGAATCCACAGTCCGATATCGGGACAATGTTGGACAACCTAGGTTTCACTCTGAACGAGGTCATACGCCTTAGAGTGAAGTTTGCACAGAACCCAGATTTGAAGACTACCTTTTGGAGCATGGGTGCGCATAAGGAGGGATTTGCAAGAAATATATTAGATGCCTAAGTATAATTAGATGTTGTTGTGTATGTCTCTAATACTGATATGGTGTTGAGTGGTATTATAGATCTACTTTATTTTGCTATATTGTGACTTTATTTCATGACATTATGTTCTATATTGTCTAATTCTGCTACTAATATGGTGTTGTGTATGAATCTAAATTTGATTAGTTGTTGTGCCTCAATTTTGACCATATAAGTTACTATAATTGTGCTTTTTTAACACAAAATAAATAGGAAGCAAATTATAGGAATTGTACTTTTACATATGCTTTCCACGGCTTTATGCATATCATTGTTTGAATCTCATTTCTTGATTCATTACTAATTTATATGGTCAAAAAATTTGGTTATGGATGGTCTTTGTAAGGATAGATTTGTATTTAAGACCTTGACTTAGTTCTTACAAATCAATAGGAAGGCACTCCACATCTGCAGCAAATTTAAAAATTTCCTCTGAATCCAAGTTGATCTTCTATGTTTTATTATTGCTAAAATTTTCTTTAACAGTTACAATGCAATGTCACGAAATTGTTAGTGCCAGTGTATGAATTTTCTTTTAACAAGCCTTTCCACCTAATCAATATGGCTTTCATTCACTATGGATCAAGGTAATTTAATTACTGATCAACATGCCAGTAAATTCAAACCCATGTCTAATATGTATTGTTTGGTTCCATACATACACATCTACCATACCAAATGCATTCTTCCTTCTTCAACAGAAAAATAGTACAAAATGTAGTATTTCCTTACAAATGAGAGTATCATTCTCTATTATATATTACAAATGTCATACCCTTTATAGGGCATGAAAAACCTAAGGTTCACCTCATTTAACATAGTGCATAACTAAGGAAATTACTAGAGCCAGTACAAGTATGTTAGACTTAATCCTCTCTAGATGCAGCTTCTTTTTAGCTTCTCAATTTTCCGTTGTGATTCTTTAGGCAACATAGCACTCCTCAAAGATGGTTGTGATGTTACCTCATCCGCAGTACTTAGAACATTATATATATTTTCATCGTCAACCCATTTAAAATAACTACATGTCCTGTCTTTGTTCTGAATTGAATATGCAACGAGAAAATATAAGACAATGAAATCAAAATAAAACAAACAAAACAAATTTGCGTTATCAAGCTTACCATCCAATTGGGACACCTCCAAAATTCTCTTCCACAACTGGCTTGCTTCTTTGAGACCATTAAAATCTTCCTATCTCCACACCCACAAAAAGGATTAGCCAAACTCTATCGTACGGTAGAGCATTGAGACCTACAAATTTTAAATAAAATTTCTGAGGGGTATGAAATGAATTTTGCTATTAACTCAACTCCAATGAGAGAACAATATAATTTTAGAGAGGGGAAAAAGTAAGGTTCACCTCTACATTCCTATTTTTAAAGAACTTATCTTTTTGAAATATCACTTGTGTAGTCAGATCAAGCTTTTCACATTCAATATAATGATGATCTTCCACTTTCCAAAAACTTGTGAACTGGCAATGCCATATAGCAAACCAAATATTTGCAAATATTCATCATTGAGAGAGCATTGACAAATGAATGAATAAAAAATTAGTACATGAGTTTGCTTTATCAGATGAAGCATTGTTGACAACTAGTTTTGAAAGGGAACACCAACAAACACAAATAAACTACTACAATACAAACTGCTATGTGCAAGCATGGAACTTTATTTTGTCATACTTGTTCAGATTATAGAATTATTTTATTGTGATTCAGACAATACCATTCTTCTTGGGACAATCATGGGATTGTTTGTAGTAGTATTTTGTGTTCATTATCTTGCTTCCAATTTTTCACCACCATTATTTGGAAAAATATGAAACGTATAGTACTGGCACAAAAAAAAATACGAACTTGCTATCAATGGGAAAGGCAAAAAAACCCTACGCTATCCTACATACAGGCATCAACTTTTTAGCTTTGGAGGAAACAATGAAGCAATTGAAATGTCTACCAAAATCAAATTTAGGACAAACCCACAAAATAGAAAACTAGGGATTACGGTTTACCTTGTCGCCATCAAGTCTTGAAACAGAGGCGGACAACTCCACGAATAAGATGACGTTTCTATATGGGTGATTGTTGACCACAACAGCACGCTACAGGGAAGAACAACATAAATAACGCACAATCGCGTATTTATACCTTCTCAGTTTAGCTCAGACCAATAGCCTGCGAGAATCTAGAAGAAGAAGCAGGGTTTCAAGGCGGAGGGATGCTCGACGGAGTAGAGGCACAATCACCGACATAGCATGATTGAGATAGAGAAGAGAAGAATGAATCGTTTGTGTGGAGGCAAAGAGGGTCAAACAGAAGATGATAGGGTGAATAAAAATTTTAGGGTTCTGAAGAAGAAAAGGGGTATTGGTGTTCAGAGGGTATTTTAGTCTTTTCCAATAAAATGTGTGTTTTTACTTACACAACCAAACATAATAAGGACACAATAGATAATATTCTGTATAACATCCAAACATAAAACACAGACACTACCCACTATGTCTCTGTCCATCATTATCTCTGTGTCTCTGTCCCCAATGTCCAGAGACAGCATCCAAATGCGGAGAGAGAGACACTAATGTTTATGTCTCTATATTGTGTTTAGAAAACGATGGAAAAGTCAGCGTCGATAAAGCAAAAGTTATGAAAGAAAACTGAGAGAGTTAGGTTTAAGGGTAATGTATATAATTTTGTAAAATTATCAGAGATATTTTGGTCTTAAAAAATATAGCTTCTATGTCATTGAAATTGGGACACCAATGGCGTCTTTCGAATTTGTACCCTCTGTGTCGTTTCATGTCTCTGCCTCTCTAGTGAGACACTAGTAAAACATGACATGCGAACTTCTATGTCTCTGTCTACTTTATTGATTATAATTTATAGTATATGTAATGCATGGACAATGCATTGGATCAACATCTTACAACACTTAAAGTTAATGACAAATTTGATATTGTCGCATGGTTCTAATCCTAGTGAAAAGCTGATTACTATGATATCTGGTGCTTGTAAAGTTGGAGTATAGAGTGGTTGACTGTGGGAGTTTAATACTTTAATTCGAGGAAATAAATAGAAACTAGTTATACAATTCCTCTAAAAACTTTGGCTATACTTCGACATATATAGTTGAGCTGGGGTAGGATTTTGAAGGTCTCTCAACTTAGCTTGATGATTGAGTTTTGAAAAGTGAAGCTGGACCTTGACTCCAAAGTTGTAAAGTATGAAATCAAGGTAAAAGTTATAATGACTGGAGTTTGATCAAATGGATACTTAGCATGTTACACAGGAATTAGGGTGTTTGAGAAGAAAATACTCATTAAATAATAACATATTTGCTATAATCTTTCGATATATTTTATTATAAATTTATTAGCTAATAGTCAGAAAATAGAGGAATTAATTTTGCATTAACTTTTATATTTATTGTTATCTATTGGGATTAGTTTGACTAGTTATATGTAAATTATAATTTAATTAGCTATCTATTTGAAAGATATATAATTAATTATTTTATTTTATTTTGATCAAAATTTATTTGAAACTCTAATACGTTTTAATACAGAATGTATAAGTTATTTTATATTGTTATGTTAATCATAGGAAGTAAGTTTAGAATCAAATTGAAATAAAATTATACTTAAATCAAATCATTGTACTAGAGAGTTATTAGCATTGGACTACTCGAAACAATATACTTAAAAAATAATTAACGTTAAATCACTTTCTAATTTCTACTTCTAAAAGCAGTTTAATAAAATTTTGTCCGCAATGTGTCATTTTTATTTTGGAAGCCAAATCTAATTTTGTCCAGTTTGTTTATTATGTGTTTATTTGTTTACAATATTTTATTTTTATTTTAGGGAGCTAAATCTGATTTTATCCAATTTGTTAAAATTAGTTTTCATTATTCTTAAAACAAAATTGCTTCTTTTTTTTTTTTTTTTTTTGATAAAACAAGATAAGACAATACGATCTGAAAAATCTTTTTTGGACAAAAAGCATGACATTTACAAAAATAGTACAAGAAAGAAACTGAATTGTATTCTAAAATATGAATGATTTGTATCTCAGCACCTACCCATAAAGCTGCATTATGATGGGCCATAATGGGCTTGGCCCAGAATTGACTCAATTGTTAGGTAACAAAAGTAATTTCAGGCACTGTGATGGTAAGATAAAGAATCCACCAATCACCTGTAAGAAGCAACATCTTCAAAGAGAGGACCAGAGTCTTAGAAGAAGGCTTGGAAGAAGTACAAAAGTACGTGATCAATTGCGTTTTTTATGAACATAATGCTCTGTGCGATTGAAGATTCTACTAAGATCATGATCCAAGAATGAATCAATGTGTTGCATCTTTCCCAAGCATTAAAAATCAAATAATCTTTTTCCGTCAATGCATCTTTATATAAAACAAATATTAAATGAATTTTATGTTTTAATTTAGGTTTTGATAAAAAAAAATCTATAAAATAATGGTCAAAACATTTAAATTAAAAATTTATTGTTTAAAATAAATCATTAATTATTATCAATAAATTCTATTATAGTTTTAAATAAAATATCAGAATAATGGTTAAAAAACATTTTAATAAAATAAATGCTGTATTTTTTCATATTTTATTAAAGAATATATTAAAAAAATTACTAAAAAAAGTATTGAAAGAAAGGAATAAAGTTAGAAAGAAAATAAAAAAGAATAAAAGAAATAACATATATACCAACAAGAAGAACAATAAAATTTTAAATTTATTCTTTTCAATATTTAATTAATTTTATATTTTTCATCATAAACGTATAATTAATATGAAAACATTAAATATATTAAAAATTATTAATAATATATAATATATAATAATAAAATACTATTTAATAAAATTATTAATATGCCACTAGTAGTGACGCAAGTCTTATGAATATATTTTGGAGTGACTTGACCAGGCTTAACTTATTTCACCAACTCATTGCTATAGCACCTAACCCTATGTGTTACTGTTTGGTATTCCATCTACATCGTTGGTGTACAGTTTACAAATATAATTTTATAAATTACGTAAAATTTATATTTATTATGCTATTTTATGTACACTAAATATAAGATTAGATAAAATTTTATTCTATTATTATTGTCATTTTGTGCTCTTGTCTTGTTTGAACATTAAACGAGCCGAAAAGTCAAACAAAAAAATGAAGTAAATATTCTAAAAAGTTCTTAATCGACACTCAAAAGACAATCCATTAATTGAATCTCAAGCAGTGAATGGCCTGAATGGTTGGGAATTGGAACATGGGGACTGGAGAAGTCAATGAATGAAGAAACCCAAAAGGCGAGGACGAGGGGCGAGGTTGGTGGTGCCCCGAAATGCGTTCACATCGTCCATGTCCATTTAATTCCCCAATTACCCTTTTGCATTTAAGATGCCTCAGCACAATCACATATATAAATCAAATATTTTTCTATGCATTTGTTTATAATGTATGTCTAACAATATTGATTACAAATATTAATTTTTTTTTATATATGATGAACATTTTTAAATAATAAATTTGCTCATTTTTTACTTTTTTAAACCGATAGTTATATGTTTTGAAGTTTTTTTTATTATCAAATAATGAGATATCTCATATTAAAAAGAGAATGATATTTTTATTAAATTTGATTAATCTTATAATTAATTATAATGTTTCATTATTTGATAAAATAATTAGCATACTAATAAGACAAAAAAATAGTGTTGATCTTCTAACTTCTTCACTTTTTTTTATTTTTTAAATAAAAAAATTAATTTAATTTTCTAACTTTTAAAATTATTTCAAATAAGTACTTTTTTAAAAGCATTAACTGCATTTATTTTTAATTTCATTAAAATTTTTAATTCTTACTTTGTTGTTCTTTAGTTTTTAAAAGTTTTAATTTGTGTGTAAAAGAATTTTCTTAATATAATAAATTTTTTATTTTAAATTATTATTTAGTAAAATTATATCTTTATTTCTTTAACTTCTACCCGTTTTACTTCAATCATTTAATTTACTAAAATTTTAATTTTATTTTCTAATATTTAAAGCATTTCAAATAGAGAAGGTGAAAAAAAAAAAGGAAAGAGGATGAGAGAAAAACATAAAAAGGAAAGAAAAAAGTTACAAAGAAGGAAAAAAATAAATAAGATTTTTATGTTAAATTTTTTTTAACAAAAAGAAGAGACTCACTTAAAATATTTTTAATGAAAGAGTCAAATTAAAAATTTTAAAAATTACAAAACTAAAGTAAAAAAAATTAAGATAAAAATTAGAAAACCAAAAATATAATTCTATCTAATAATAAATTAAAATAAAAAAATTATTATATTAAAATTTTATTTTAAACACATAAATTAAGACTTTTAAAAATTAAGACCTACAAAAATAAAAAAAATTATAGAAATTAAAAACAAAAAATATAATTTTACTTGATAATAAATTTAAAATAAAATTTTTATTATATTAAAAAATATTTTACACACAGAAAGAGATATCGAAAGTGTATTTAATTTTTTCTTAATATATATTTTCAGGCATACGATAAATAAATTTCCATAAAGCTCCCTTAAAAAACATTTTTATAAAACAAATTAGACAAATGCTAAAAGTGTCATGAAAATAATAATTGAAAATAAAAAATATATTTTTATTGAAACATATTATTAATATATTAATTTTATCCATATGTGTCAAAACATACAATAAAAAATTAATAAATAATTATTTTTAAAAAATTATAGTATTTAATGTTATATCAATGTATTTAGAATTTAATAATTTTTATTATAAATTTAATATATATAATTTTTTATTATATGAATATTAAAAGAATAATTAATATATTATTATAATAATTTATAAAATTTTACTAACAGATGTGAAAGTCAAAAAATAAAAAAATAATTAAAAAATAATAATTATATTCAAAATATAACAGAGTCATATTAATATTAGTTTGTAATATTTTTTATTTTAATTTCTTAATTAATGGTTTTAGAATATTATTTGGATTTATCGAATTTTTAATACGTCTTATATTTTTATTTAAATATATATTTTTTCTTAACCAGTTTCCTCGCAAGAACCACAATATTATATATATAGCGCGTTCCATTTTCTCACCAACCCCCGAAACCCGTCCTTCTTTCTTTCTTTCTTCACTTTCAATTCTTTTGGTGGTTGTTCAATGCATTCTTCTACCACCAAACTCACCCTTTGGAGGTACATACAATGATTCCAAGCTATGTTTCATACAAAGAGAACCAACACTTGTTCATCATTTTCCATGTCATAACCCATTGATGATCATTTTTTGACACCTTCTCCTTTGATCTTTCTTCCATGGCTGCGGCAATTTCAGCACCACCCCTATTGCATGCCTCCTCAAAGAAGGCTTCTTCTGTGGCACCCCATTTGAGTTTTGTCGGTGTTAAGAAGACCCAGTTGAGATTTGAGTCCAAAATCTCACCAAAAAGACTAGAATGGATTTGGAAAGGAAAAGAAGAGAAGTGGCATAGCAAGATAAAGAGAAAATGGGGTGTAAAGTGCACCGCTGAGGGCATAGATGGGGGAATGTTTGTGGGAGGAAGAGCTAGAAGAGAGGGTGTTGTTGTTAGCATTCCAGAGAGGTTCAAGGTGGTGTGTTTGGTGGCATGCGTGATGTGCCTGTGTAATGCTGATCGTGTTGTCATGTCTGTGGCTGTTGTTCCTCTCGCTGCCAAACATGGGTGGTCCAATTCTTTTCTCGGCATTGTTCAGGTACTCCAAATCACTACGAAACTTCTGATCACGAGTGTGTGCAACAGACACAATTGTCATCAATGAGTTGGAAAAAGTACTATTTTGTTTTAAAGAATCAAACCTTTGTGTCAATTACATTTATGTCATTAAAAAGATATGTTTTTTTTTTAACACTTGAAATTGAAATTAGGTGTCTTTTTGTGTTTTAAGGTCGATTTTTGGAATATGTGTGCTGATAAATACATAAAATGTCATAAATGATATTAATTTTTAGTCGTTTAAATAAATAAACTGTATAAAAATAATATTATATGTATAGTTGTACTTTTTTTTTTCTTTATCTTTTTGTATATATGTAATTCAAGATATGCTCCAAAATAAAAGACAATAACATTTTGGTAATTTAGTTCCTAGTTATTTGAAATTTCCTCTTTTTAGAACTTCAGATGAAGACAAAGTAATTATTTTTGTTTAACAAATAAGCTCAAAATGGTTAGAAGTTCCCTGAACAAAAACAATTTCAATTTAGTATCCTATTCTTAAATCATACATAAAGGCTGTTTTTAAAGCAAACTCGTTGTTTTGTTTCCTTTTGTTTATGGTGGAGCCACTTGCTAACATAAAGTTCATACCTCACGCAAATGATGCAATATCAGTCATCTTTCTTGTGGGGTTACATATTCTCTTCAGTGATTGGAGGAGCTTTGGTAGATAGATATGGAGGAAAGAGGGTGATGGCTTGGGGTGTGTTTTTGTGGTCTTTTGCAACTCTACTTACACCTTTGGCAGCCAACCACTCCACACTGAGCTTGTTGGCAATTCGTGCTTTCTTTGGATTAGCTGAGGGAGTGGCTCTTCCTTCCATGAGCACTCTCTTATCAAGGTGACTCTTCTAGAATACTATTGGACAACATAATTATTTAGCTATCTCAGATGAAGACCTGACAAACCAAGTATTAAATATTTGAGCATAACAATCCTGTGTTAGGTGGTAAATAACATCTAGTTTGCTTATTTGCCTAACCTATCTCATTGTCAAGCTTTACCTTTCGTAGGCTCAATTTGAGTAAGCTTATGCAGAAGCAATTATAGGAGAAAAGAAAGGAAGATAAAACAAATAAAATTACTCTCGTAAGTTAGAATCAACTTATATTCTTCTACCTTTTAGAAGTTTTCTCAATTAACTTCTTCAAAACATGAGGTATACAAGTTCATTCTAACATAAGAGAAGGGATTTATTTGTTTTATCTCCTTATTTTATTTTCCTACCAGTGCTTTTGTAGAAACTTACCCAAACTGGCCTTAATATTGATGGAAGACACAGGTCTTATTAATAGGCTTCTCTTATAAGCATCTCTTGTTTTTGATGTAAAACTAGTTGTCTACAAATGTCATTGCTGATCTAATCTTCATACGAATAGGTGGTTTCCAACTAATGAGAGAGCAAGTGCAGTTGGAATTTCAATGGCTGGATTTCATCTAGGCAATGTGATAGGCTTGTTGCTAACACCAATTATGTTGTCCACTATTGGAATTTCGGGTCCTTTTATCTTATTCTCATCTCTTGGATTGCTTTGGGTGATGACATGGGCCTATCGAGTTACAGATGATCCTATGGAAAGTAATTTCATCAGCAGATCAGAACAAAGATTAATCCAAGCTGGAAAAACTTGTTCTCCCAAAAAGAGTAGCAATTTTCCTCCCCTAGGCCTTCTATTATCAAAATTACCATCATGGGCTATAATATTTGCCAATGCAACCAACAACTGGGTGAGTTATTTTTGCTTTTGACTGAAGAGGACTTACTATTGTGAATCCAAATTTAGGCATGCTAATCTTGATGTCGCTTAATTTGCAGGGATACTTTGTTCTCCTCTCATGGATGCCAGTTTATTTCAAAAGCGTAATTACTTGCTTAACTTGTTCTTAATAATTGTATCAGTGAGCAAAGTTATATTTTTGTTTCTTATACTTTTTGAAATATATGGTAAAACTCCTCTAATGTAAGTTTGTTTGTGAAATACAGAAGTAATTACTTACCATGTGATTATCTGAAAAATAATTCGAGGATAGATAACTTACATATAAGCTCACTTTAGAGGAGTTTTTCTAAAAATTATAATGGGGTTACCTACAAAGTAAATAGTACTAGGTTTCTTCATGCTTTTTCATCCACCGTGCTCTTTTTGTCAACTTCATTGTTTTTAGAAAAGCAAACACTATTCCTTAAAAATGAGAGTCAATTCAGATGGTTGGGATCCTAATAATAGATGGTAGTAGGTTTTGAAAGTTACTACTTTGTTTTCCCTCTTTGTCTATGATAGGAACATAGTATTTGATTAGAAATAGTAGGGAAAATCTCCCCACCTTACAACCACAAACTTGCAAATTCATATCCTACCCTTTCTACGTACCTCAAGCCAACTAGCTAACACACTATTACATTTAACAGTCTATTCCTGTTGCTGAGTGTTGAGCCTGCACAAAATTCCTTGATATTCAATTTCTCGTAGTGCTGGAAGCCTGGAACTTCCAATCATGATTAACTTTTTTTCTTCTTTATATAGGTATATAATGTGAACTTGAAGCAGGCAGCTTGGTTCAGTGCAGTTCCTTGGGGCACAATGGCTATTTCAGGTTATCTAGCTGGTGCTGCATCAGACTTCTTAATCAACACAGGGTACCCGACAACATTTGTCCGAAAGTTCATGCAGGTAACTCTGTCATCCCTTTCGTGCAGAAGGATGAATTTATATGCAGTGTCCTAATTTTAACTATAAGGATCAATTGGATCCTTAATAAAATGACCTTGAACAACTATTAACTAGGAAAAAAAAAAAAAAGAAGAAGAAACATTGTTAAAGAGTGTAAAAACTCAAGATAGGTTTTTTTTTTACGTTGAGGCAAATATAGACCAATGTCAGAAAAAACTTGTATCATCTGCAACAATAATCTGATTCATACTTGGTATATTACAGACCATTGGATTCATTGGACCAGCACTGACCTTGCTGTGCTTGAATTATGCCAATACACCCACAATTGCTGCTACACTTTTGACTGCAGCTTTGAGCCTAAGTTCTTTCAGCCAGGCTGGCTTTATGCTGAACATACAAGTAAGTTCAACTAAAAAAATTTGAACATACCCTTAAAACAGTATATTATTTAAAACATTTTACTTGAACATACAACTATACAAGTGAGACCTTAACCTCACCCTTCAACATTTTACATGATCAGGACATTGCTCCTCAATATGCGGGAATTCTTCATGGTAAGATGTTAAGCAAATGTGTTGTAGGGAAAGCCTTTTTTTTTTTTTTCGGTTTTTCATAATGGTTCTTTCTTTAACACTAACAAAACTGTTACAGGAATCTCAAATTCAGCTGGAACGTTAGCAGCTATTATAAGCACAATTGGAACTGGTTATTTTGTACAATGGCTGGGATCATTTCAGGCATTCTTAACTGTAACAGCTGCTCTCTATTTTGTGACAACCATTTTTTGGAATCTTTTTGCCACAGGCGAGCAAGTTTTGTGAACTTTTCCCAACAAAAAATTCCTCCCACCTTGCTTTCATATTGGTCATCTACAAGGGAAATTATAAATCCCAAAATCTGGGTTATACACAAGAAATTAATGAAAAGCTATTTCAAGTCTCTTGTTTCTTAGACAACAGAAAATTGTTATATTTTCAGCCACGGTCAACCCTTTTCTTGGCCCCTTCGATTAGGGAAGGTGAGAAAATTGTATTTGGAAAAAGAAAAAGAGTATGTCTATAATCTAGACCATTTAAAAAATGCTTTAGTCGAATTATGCCCTTACTTGTGTTAAATGGAAGTATCCGAGGAATGTGAGTGTAGTGTATACAAGTTTGTAAAACTATCGATAACTAATTTGTATATCATAGAGAATATGGAATATCTATATTTCTTTCTGTGTGTGCACACTTTACATTCATGTAATATTATCATTTTTTCAGATAATTGCTCTCAATTTTTAAAATTTTGTTACTTCCCTCAACTTGAGTTTAAAATTAAAAATCTAGTTTTTAGTTAATTTTAATACAAGATACTATTTATTTAATATTATTATATTGTAATTTAAAGCATTTTCAACATGCCTCTTGAAGCTATTATTTCTTTTTCATGTTATTTATTTATTAAATTTTAAGAGAGTAAGTAAGAAAATATTAAATTATCATTAGGGTTAAAATTTAATTTTTATGAATTATTGTATTATTTTTAATAAGTATGAATTTTAAACTAATTGTTATAAAAATTAAGTTTTGTTGATATAGTAATTTGTTATTGAATAAAAATGTAAAAATAATTTAAATTGCTAACTTTAATTAAATTATTTAAAAAAAGTAATGCTTTTAAGTTAAATCAAAGTTGAGTTAGTAAGTCAAATAAAAAAAAAGAAAAAGTTGAAGGGGATTATTAGGGCGGAAAAAGTGAAATGACTAAGTGTTAACTGTGATTTACCGTTAACAAAAGTTTGCATATGTCTTAAATGTCTAGTTTTTATCAACAAAATGATGTCCATGGCCTGTAAATTGTTGAAAGCATAATATTATTTTAAAATTTTAATTGAAATTCATTAACAGTATAAAGATTTTTTGTATTGTTATTTAATTATAAATTATCATAATAATAAAACTTATTAATTTTTATAAAATTAATTTAAAAGTTATATCTGTTATATATTTTAATTAGATAATAATATAAATTTTTTTCTATTAATGGAGTTTTAAACTTAAAAGTTTATTCAAATAATACCTTTTTTTTTATGGAAGAGTTTTCCTTTTTCAGAAGCATAAGGCCGTTGGAAATGTATAGAATCTAATGAATGAATTTTATCTTGTTTGAGAAAGAGCAACTTTTCCTCTAAAAACATGTTAGAATTTGTTTTAATCGGAATATTTTTGTTTGATCAATTTTAAATTTGGGTATTATATTATCTCTATCTCTTTCTCTAACTCATTTAATTTAATGGATCTACGTAAGTGAAGATGGGATAACCTAGAAAATCGATTCTTGAAGAATCAGATAAATAACAATGCCATAAAAAATATCTTGTAATTCACGGTGATAATACATAATCTGTTTGATCAATGTTTTTTAATTCTATTTTGTTTCTCCCAACAGGCACATAGTGATTGCAGGGAATGATAACGATTGGATTTTGACCCTAATATGAAGAAATGCAAGTTAATTTTTACATATAATCACTAATTGCAAAAAAACAATAAAATCCCGAACTTGTTTATATAAAATCTTAATCATTAAAAACATATTTTATACATTAAATAATAAAATAAACTTGCAACTAAAAATGGTTAGATCTTTAGATGGGAACCAAATAATTTGCGTTTGTTTTAGAAAATTTTGGCCTAAAATTAAAGTGAAAATGTTTTGGACTTTCATTTTAGTGAAAATTTCTCGCTTTCCTTTAAGTAAAAGTGCTAAAATGCATTGCATGGCACGACAAGGAATCTCAGTCTAAAATTTAGTAATAAAAATAAGTTTAAAAATAAGATATAAAAATAAAAATAATATAGAATTAAATATAATTTACCAAGATAGTTATATTTATTAATTCACTGTGATTTAAATTGTTAACTATATATAATTTATTCATTTTCGGTAATTAAGTTTAAATTAGTTAGTGAATAAAATATTATATAAATATAACAAGCAAAAGCTCAAATAGTAAATAAATCATGTCAATGATTTCATGTAAGAATATAATATTTGTAAACGTTGTACTGTAAAGGCATATTTATTAAAATAACTAAATTATTAGATTAAAAAAGTTTAAAAGAAAAAATATGCAATAAAATTAAAAAAATGACAAAACTGGTATATTTTTAATATTATTTTTCAATAACTTTACTCCAATTACAAGTCTGTTATCTCATATAACTGAGATAACTAAAAAGTATTTAAAAACTGCACTTAAGCTTTTTTTAAAAATTAAATTTATCAATATTTCATATTTTCAATAAGAATATCAACTACACAAAATTAGAAACACTTGATAGTAGTCTTAGGAATGCCTAATTATATACTTTTTCAATATCCTTAATTGTTTTAAAAGAATTTCAAATAGCGATAACTATTCTAACCAACATGACTCCGACCATTTGTTCATGTATTCGGTCTGTGATCAATGGCTTCCATGAAAGGACAACTTGAAAGGGATATAATGCTTTTAATATTTGAGTTTGAACAATTTTTAGGTATTATATCTCTTATTCAACAGAGTTTAATTTTAATGCTTTCATGTTATTAATTAATCAGAATATATTATAGGTATACTTTTAAAATTAATTATTTTTTATTAATATAATAATTTATAATATCATTTGCAAAAAATTATATAAATGTACCATAAAAGATAATTTAAATGAACAGAAAAACAGGGGAGAAAAAATGTAAAATGAGTATAGGCATTTTTTATATAATAACATTGATTTTTTTACAGTATAAATAATATAATATTATTTATTAGTATATTATATCGTACATAATTTTATTTTATACTAATAATAACAAATGATGTTATATTTTTCAGAAAAAGAAAGTAGGTGGACAGAGAACTCTAAATATTTAGATTTGTCCTTTTATTTTTGTCATTTTCTTATTTATTTTGACTTTCTTTTGTTGGGATTTATCTTAATTTTCTTATTCAGTATCGTTAAATATTTTGAATATATTTATTATTTAAGTTTTTTTAATTTAGATAAAATATTAATAAAACTACACGATAAAACGAATATGTTCATTTAGGTCGGTTTAAATTTATTGATAAAAAATACGATTTGAATTTTAAATTTTAAATTCAAATTAAATATAAATGATTTTAATTAATTTGATTAAGATTAATGCAAATTAAATTTATAAAAAAATTATTAAAAAAAGTTAGACTTTTTAAAGCCTAACTCATTAAAACTTGCTGCTTTCAATGGAGTGTGAACTGGTCCATGTAGCTCCTTTACTCAAAATGAGACATGTAAAATTGTAATTATTAAAATAATTACATATATATATATGTGTATATTATTAATTTTTAAATTAATTAATCATTAGTTAAATTTATTAATAGATAATTTTTAAATAATTTTAATATAAGATTTAAATGATAATATATAACAACTAAACTAATTTAATTTTAATTAAATCAATTATTTTTTATACTGTTATTGAATAATAAACTATCATCTGATAATAAATTATTATCTAATCTTAATTAGTTACTATGGTGCCTTTGGTTGAATTTATCATATAAAATTATTATTTTTAATTATCATTTAATAGTAAATTCTTACAAACATTTATTTAATTTTTATAATAATTAATTAAAAAAATATATTTATCATATATTACAATTAGTTGATAATATAAAATTTATATTAGTAATATATTAAAATTAAATTTTTAATTAAAAAGTATCCTAAGAAAATTAATTCAGTCTTTACTTAATAGATTATTCTCTAAATAAATGCATGGATATCTCCGATAGGCAAGGGAGAAAAAACAAAATAAACGAGAGCGATGTGACAATATTAAGTCCTTTTTGGTTTTCCCTACAAAATTTTCAAAACAAACAAAAACAAAACGAACAAAAAATAAGTGAAAACAGTATGAGGAGAAAGCTTGACCCTGAAGTCTCTAGCAGATCAAATATCAATCCAACTACACAAAAACAAACCCAATCCTCCTTCTATGCGTTTCAACACATCACATCTCTGAACCCTCTTTTCTATGATCTCAACTATCCGCACCCCATAAAATTTCCAACTTTACATCGCAATCCTCTCTTTCCCTAAGACCCTTTTCATTTTTTGATCCCTATCCCTTCAAACCCACACCCCACAGAGATTTTAAGCTCTTTCCCCGACTGGGTTTTAAAAAAAATCTGATTTTTTTGCTTATGTTTTTGTTAAAGCCATGAATTTCAGGAGCTTGGAAGATTTCTGGGCTTTTTATGTGAACCAGCATTCGAAACCGTCCACAAGGCGTTGGCACTTTGTGGGCACGCTCTTCAGTATTTTCTTCTTGCTCTGTTCGGTTTTCTTCAGCTGGTGGTTCTTGTTCTTTGTTCCTTTTTCTGGGTATGGATGTGCTTGGTACAGTCATTTCTTTGTTGAAGGGAATGTTCCTGCCACTTTTGGGCACCCCTTTTGGTCACTCTTATGTGATTTCAAGATGTTTGGCTTGATGCTTACTGGGAAAATGGACAGAGAGATTAAGAGGCTTGGAAAAAGACCTGTGCTGCAAGTGTTTTAATTTCCATGTTAGCTTGTTCCCTTTTGTTTGAGGTGAGTTTGCATATGATGTGGCCTTTGTGTGTTTTAAAATAATTTTTGTTTCAATATATGTATTTTGTTTCTTTGTAGGTGGGTAACTGTGTTTTTTGTCATTAAATTGATTGGCTACGGATGATTTTGCTGAAATATATTGATAACTGAATGGACTCAATTGTGTGTGTGGTGTTGCAATTTAGTGTATTGAATGGCTATGCTAAAAGCATCATGGCTGGACAAAGTTGTAAGATGAAGATAATTAGAGTAGTTGATCTTAGTTTGACTTATTCTATAGGTTCGGGTACATAGATTTTGATGGCCCGTTTAGTAGACATGGTAAGAACAAGATAGGATAATTTCTCTTGTCCTTTTTTATACTAGTGTTTGTTTAACTGACAGGATATGATAAATCTATCTTATATGCTTATCCATTCTTATCCTAACCCTTAGGGCATTTCCACATGCTGAAGTCTTTCTGGTATAGTTTCATAAATATTTGAAAAAACCCTCATTTTGAATTGGATCACAAAAGGCAAACAATTTGTCTTATTACTTCATATTGAGAGAAATGGCAACATTGCTGCCTTGTAACCTTCAAGTCACATGTTCAAATTCTTAAATAACCTTTCCACCTGTGTAAGACGGACTATATACATGTATCCTCTCCAAACCCCACTTAGTGGGAGCGTCATAAATAGGATTGCCCATTTAGACTTCATATTGAGAAATTCTATATCTCATTGGATAAAATCATAAAACAACCAATAGAGCTGCTGAATTGCCATTTGATCATCTAAACAGTATATATGTTGATTTCAAATATTGTTTGGGATAGGATTGTTTTATGGTCTCTTTTTGGTGTTCTTCCCATGGTTTTCTTTTAGTTTATTTGGGAATTTGGAGGGAGGGGTGAGGAAATGGAAGAGCTTGAGGGGCTAGAGAGGAGGATTAACAAGAACACTTCCCAATTTGGGAGAATTAAAACATGAGTTCATGGAGGTTTTGGAGGGTTGATAAAAACTACTGAACCCTCCCCTCACATTTTAGAAACTTCCAAACAAGGGTTATCATAAAAAAAACCTTCCCCTTCCCTCCCTTCTCTCCCTTAAATTAACTCCCGCAAAGCTTTAAGGAATTTCATTTTTAGTATGCAGATATATTGAAGAGATATTTTACACTCATGATGTTTATTTGCTTATTGTTGTATTTGTGCGGGAGGTTATTATTCTCTGTTTCTTCCATGTCATCTTTATTCTCTGATAAAAAAAATCTCTATAAAAAAGCTATATAAAATAGACCAGCTAATTCTTTTGCTGAAACATGACAGTGGATGGTAATTCTTCACTGTCAGCATTCATTCAATGGACATTCCAAATTAGTTAAATGTAATCAATTGGTCAGTTTTTGAGATACACTTCTATGATTAATGTTTCTAGATTTTCTCTGTTCTTCTGTTTCCAGTTTTGTTTTGCCAATATCAGTTTCATGAAGTTACAAATTTTCTTCCTATAATGATGAACGGTTGAATGCTCTGATTCAGTGTGTTTAGATTGTCCATAAGACTATGGTCTGTTATGAAGGTTGTAGGAAATTGTGGGGGGAGCCACTCCATTTTTTTATATGGCTAGTAGGCCCAGTACTGTATGTAGGTTTGTCGATTTATGATTTTGAAATTTGAAGTGTTTCTGACCAACACTGGTACAGGAAATATTGAAGTGCAGATGCATTCAGTCAAGTTTGTCAGTGGGGATGATGGTGCTTCGTGATTGGCTTGGCAATCTTTGAGAATGCTATGTGATGTTCAAAATTCAATTGTATGATATGAAGTGTGCATGACACCAATCAGGTATACTTCACCGATCTGGGATACCACATTTAGTCTTGTGATATTCTTGGTATTTACATGGTCTATATGTACATTGAAAGTTGAAACATTTGTTGCTATTTGCTAGCAATTAGTACATCTCTATTCAATAAAACCTACCAAAAGTTTGGAGTTTCTCAGCAAATTTTGCTTATGGATGTTGTTAGCAAACTCATTTATTGGTGAATTAATAGAAAATAGATAATTACCAAGCAAGCAAGGATGTCAACATGTCTTGAGAACATCTAAAAATTATATGAAAATGCATTTATAATGTTAGTTAAGAAAGATTAAATATTTTCTATTAAATGCTTTTATCTACTTAAAAATGCTTGTGTTAAATGACTTATTTCCTAATATAATAAATGATCTTTTCTAATAGTTTTTTTTTTTTTTTTCATTTTTGTATCCTTGACCAGTATCTTTAAGACAATGATTACTAAAACTGATTTGTGAAGTGTAGTTATGTTTTCTTGATATTTCTAGCAGTATAAATTACGGGCCAATATGATCAACGAGAGTTCAAATTCAACTGTGATTCAATCTTCAACTATATATGAACCAACCTAAAATTTAGCTGTAGAAAAGGCTTTTAGCTTCACTTGTTGATCAAAGTCTGCAGCATCACCAACATAGTATGTGTACAAGAGATTCTGTTCAATTTGACATAGAAAGCTATTCACCTTTTCTAGACTCACTAGTGTCTTAGTCATGGCATGCAGCAATCATCGTTAATCAGTGTTACTTGAAATTATTGTGATGGCATTGTGTCTGCAATAATCAGTTCCAAGGGTCCTGACACCTAAGATCCAGTTGATACATAAAGTGATTGCTCCAAAAGAATCAATTATCTAAAGAACTAAATTATTCTGATTCTGAACTTACTGTGTTGTCCTTGGTGCCCAAAAGGATATCTAAAATCTCAATTTCCACCCTAAAGCTCTTCTCTTCCTCATCATGGAATGCCCTAGGATGATAAGTAACACACAACCTTCATTCATGAATCTGCCAATATGCAACATTATTTCTTCCTTGATTAGGCGATCTCTATGCATGAAACATGGTATAGAGCTACCAAGTAACAACAATGAAAACATGTATCAATGATCACATTTTAATATATCCTGCCTGTGGGGGTGATGATAAGGGTTTAAGCAAAACACAGTGGAGTTGAGACAATTAGATCATCATTATTCCAATCACCTACATTCTCTGTCAATATTTATTTACATTCTTTGAGATGGCTCAGATATCTCAACACAGGGAACTTTTAAGCAAATAATTTCTGGTTTTATTAACTTACCAATTTTTAAGACTGAGTTTAAGTATTAAAAAAAGTGTTTTTTTTATTAGAAAAGATGTTTATTATATTAGAGATACAAAAGTATAATAAATACTTTTTTTTAATAAAATTTTATAATTATGTAAATTAAATTTAGTTTTAAAGACCGAAGTTAATTAAATTGAATAGTTTAAATAAATGTTTATTCAATAAGCTTTCATTAAATTTGAAATTATTCATAAATTTGACTGAAATTTAGTAAAATTAGTTAAAAACGAACTTATTTTGATAAGCTATTCTATCAAGTTTGCTGAAATATGATAAAAAAAAAAGTGCGTATAAGATCGCAAGCTACTTTCATCAGTTCAAATTAGCCTTTTTCATATTCACATAACTTCTGGTCAATAATTATACAGCAAGCAAGTCTATGATGCTGTCTCTTGCAAAGTTTAATCGAACTCAACATCAGCAGACTCTCTAGACTCGTCAATAAGGTTATAGATAACCACAACACCAACTACACAGCCATATTCAGCGTTTCAGTGACATGGCCCAGATTTACTTGACAGAGGCAAACGTCCTGATGCATTTATGAAAATAAATATTCTAAGATGCAGATTAAATTTTAAACCCAATTATTAAAGATAAGTAGCACGGTGTTTCTAATTATGTGTATGATAGGCTTAAAAGAAAATACTCATTTGAAAAAGTTTTATGTTCGGGTAGTTAGTATTAATATAATTGACAACAAATTATTTTAGTTCAAACATTTTATTTCAATCGTGAAAAAGTTTATTAAATTCAAACTTTTCAGTTATGTTTTAGCCAAATCATTAATTTCTTGTACTATATATTATGTAAATGGTTGGATTGGATATAATACAAATGACGCTTACAAGATTCCAAAATTAAATTAGTTAAGCAAACTTGTTTTCTCTGAAACAAAGCAACCAGTAAAGCATCTTCTTATTACCACCAAATTGGTTCACGTCCTTATTTTTTAGTAAGAAATTAGTTATTAAAATGATAATTTAATCTTTAAAATTATAAAATATCGTTCTGGTCCTTTAAATTATCAAATATTGATCTTTTAATCGTTTTTTATAATTTGCAAATCCTGCACAAGAAAAAAACCGCCTATCTCCCTCCCCCCCTTCCCATAACAAAAAGAAAGAATATACCATTTCTTGTAGACTAAAAAAATATTTAGTTTTTTAATATAGTTAACTTTTATTTAATAATCTAATTTATTTTGTCAATCTTGACCCTCAAATTATAAACCTTTAAAAAAAAAACTCTAATATTACTTATCTATAACATAACATGCAATTAAATATGTCAAATCACTTATTTCAGAATGATCGCTCACATAATTAAATACATAATTAAATACATGACATGTTACCACAAGATAATAAGGATCATTTTTAAAATTTATGCCTAAAATCAACAATTTTTTACAGATTAAAATTAAATTTCATCATATATATAGACTAAAAAAATATTAAAATAATAATAATAATACACGATAACGGGCTTTAAGAAATTTGCAATTTACTCTTCCGCAAACCCAAAAAATGAGATGATGAAAAATTAGGGTATGTTTGATTTTTGTTTTAAAAACAATTTTTTGTTTTTAAATTATTTTCAATTCTAATATTTAAATTATTTTCAACATTCATAATTATTATGACCAGAAGATTTGCGAGTTATTGTTCCTTTTCCATTTGCCCTTTTCATTCGAGACAAACATTTTTAAAACATAACTGCCTCCCCCTACTTGAAAAGAAAGAATAAGCTGTATTGACTTGTTCAGCTCAGCCTAACACAACTTACCCTGAGAATGCAAAATGCAGTATAAGCATTGGAGAAAATGGAAAGCTCGTTAGTATTTCCCAGATTAATATTCACACGGGGAAAATTCTGACCAATGTAAAGGAACTTAATTCTACGGAACAACTACCCTTTGAACAACTTACAATCACTTCTTGTCAGAAAGTTATAATATACATGGCGATCTTAAACCTAACTCTACATATGGATAAACAAAGAAAATGGATTCAGGACTGACTTTGTTACCAACTGCCACAACTCGGGAGTTGTAAGACTAACTAATTACATAATACGAGGAACCTTTAGATGAGGGCCACAGGCCGATATCAGTGGATACATATGATATTGTTTTCACCAGATGTAATACATATTTATCATGCCTTTCTCCCACCAGTCAAAATATTACAGGGCGGCAAAAATTTCTGATTGATTACCTTCGCCGTGCCATATTAGTGTGATGATGAGCTTTGCTATCAATTCTTATCCTGTCGGCATACATGGGGAGGCGAATTATTTCATTTATTTCATTCAACAAGATATCCTCTGTGATATTGTCTCTTATACTTCGCATCACCTGTAATCAATCAAGCAAATGGCCCGAATCAAGTACAGATTGATAGAGAAGAGGGATATTAAAAAGCAAAGGAGCTGCTGGCATAGGACCTTTTTATAAGTATTGAAGTCATTTGGAGTTGATTTATCTGTTCTGACTCGCTTGAATATCCATTCCTGTCTATCAGAATCCCAAGAACACTCAATGATCTTTCCGGAGAAAAGCAAGGGATCTGAATCTTCTGCAGATTTTGAATTTCCATTTAGCATTTGCAATGAATGCAACTAAGAACAATCAGACAAACTGCAGACTTTCAAAGAAAATAAGATCATGCATGGAAAGTATTACAAAGTATTATCCAGAAAAAACGAGACGCTGTTTCTGGTACCCACTTTTCAGGTGGGAGATAGAATTGGCTACGGTGATAAGAAAATCACCAACCAATCTGGACACAAAATTGGCATATGAACATGTACCGCACGGAGGAACAAATAAAGCCATCACCATGAATTAATAGAATTTCCTTTTCTACAATGACGCATGAAATCATAACATTATTTTATAAATTGCAGTGTTTAAGTGAGGAAAGGGAAGGAAGTGTGAGGATAAGGACTTTAAAAAACATTATATTATATTAATATGTCATGTAATAAGGTATTACAAATACTGTACCAATGGTCCTATGACAACAGTTTAGGCAGAGTACTGGTATTGCGTTAGGAGTGGCTCAAAAGAAAGGAGAAATGAAATGGGTTATTAATAAAATGTGAACCCTAATTCTGGGAATCAGCCCCAATGTGGTACTGAATCCAGAATCAGCACAATAGATGTGCTGGGTTTGTGAGAGATCCAGTCCTCTCCCACTTGACTTTCCTAACTCTTTGGAAACTATTTGTCAGACCTCCCTTATTTATACTTCTTATTTTCCTGCCAATCACATAACTCCCTCTAACTAACTTCCTGGGTCCGCTGATAACTAACAGAGCCAGCAGTTACATGTCAGTAGGGTGTGATTACCTGGTATTGTGCCTATTTCTTGTAGACTACACCTGCCTAAGAGGGAGTCAGATTCTATCATGTAGTAATGCTAGTACAATATAAAAGGAATAATTGTTTACACTATATTTTAAAACTCTCTTAAGATATTTTTAAAAAAAATTCTCTGATAATACACTGAAGATATTCTGAGATTTTTGTTAAATATTCTAACAACTAACATCATAACTGAAAGAGTTGGACAAGTATAATGAACTAATAAAAATCTTCCTGACCTTCAAATGCAACCCTATAACCTTCCATGAGTTTCTTTTTTCCTCGTTCATAGAGAAAAAGTAGCTGACAATCATTATCAATCTGCCAACACAAGCAACTAGAAATTAGTTGGGCACATCTGCAACAAACTAGAAGAGACCACAGGATAATTGGAGCAAGGGACATCAAAGAGAATTATCCAACAACATATGTAATAAGTTGACGATACCACCTCAAAGAGAAAATCAACAGAATTCAGATCAGCATATTTCCACTTTAAGAGGCCTTCATGAGTGCGTGGTATATAAGGATCATCCCAACCCTGGGTATAAATGTTGTCAGCAACAACTTCCATTCACTTCAATAGCAAAAGGATAAGAAAAAGAAAACACAGTCTGTGTAGCAAAGGACAACTTGGAAGGAAACAGAATGAATGGGCCAATGTATTTGAATTATGAGCTAGTCTAGGTTTATTGTCTCTTTTATCAGACATCATTTTAAGATTACTACAAAATCCAGAAAGATCTTCATTCTCATTCTGAATAAGTTGTAGCAATATGTAGACCCTGGTTTGAGAGAGAACCAACAGAAAAGGGAATAATCTTAAAAAGGCTACACACATAATTAAATATAGATGACATGCCAGCATGGCTTTGAGCCAGAAGAAGCTATTCAACACATCAGAAGAGCTAATCTCATCCTCAAGTTTAATACATTGAAGGAGATTCAAACCCACCTGAAATATGAGACCATCTGCATCATGCGAGAGTTTCGGAATGAATTCATTTAAAAGTTTTGTGACAGCAGAGAGCAACCAAAAATCTTTCCTCCTCACCTAATCATTTCAAGCATATCAATAGCCAAGCAACAAGGAGAAAATGAACCTTAAAATATATCCAATTTTAAGGTTAGGGATGCATACCCTGAATGGCTCCATGTCATATCTATAATAAGGATTTCTGCACTGGAAGCGTTCCTGATTCCTGGGTTCAATCACTCCTTTCTCAAGCATCTTCCACCGTTCATAAAACGGTCGCTGCACCAAGTTTGGATTAAATCATACAGTGCTAACTACACTTTGTATCAAAGAATAAAAAAACACAAATTATAGTGGATAATAATAATTTCAAAGAAATTATTTAACATTTTAAGTCACAATTACTACTGTGATAATCAAATATTAAATCAATTTGAGGACATTTCATCTTCTAAGAAAATGTGACTGAAATATTCACCATGGCACTTGATTGATTAGTAATATATAAATCTTGAAGTGCCAAATGTAGAGGCCGTGGCCGTGTCAACATTTTCCAGCTTCACCTTTCTGCCATGTCAATTTATCTCATTCTTTTCTATTTAGCCATTTTAGTACATTTTCAAAATTCTTGAGTTGGGATTGAGTGTCATCCATGTGCATCTCTCTCATTTTTTTCTTTGCCGGATTCCTCCAACTCTTACTTAAATGATTCACACCCTCAAATATTTCAGCTTTTACCAACTTTGCCTCTTGGTTCAATAACTGCCATTCATGATAGTCAAAATTGAGATTCTATGTAGGATTAGAGAGAGGTCAAAGATCGTAATTCTTAGGATCGTAACAAGGATTTCAAGATCCTACAAAATTGTATGTATGCATATAAAATAGTATAATTATGAGATGAGGGAAGGAAGCCACCCTCAACTCAACAAAGATAGGGACATGCCCACTAAAAACAAAGATAGATGGAGATGAGAGACGAGGAGAAGGAAAAGATCGGTTAGGTGATGTATTATGATGAGAAGACTATTTCACCCTTAAGAAAATGGATGGCAGCATTGTGGCAGCCAAAGGTTACTCCACCAAGCACCACCATGCTATTGACAACTATAAAGCAATTGGGTCAAAAAACGAAAACAAGCTGAAAAGGACAAGGCAGAATCGTGCGAACCTACCAATTTTACAATCTTGCACGGCAATTCCAGGCGATCTTACAAATATCCAATTTTGACTGTTGGTTCAAGATCATAAAATCACACAATTCTATGAGTCAGCATGCGATTTTGACAGCCATGCTGCCATCCATTTTCAATTTCTTTGCTTTGGCTTTTCTGAGGCAGCCTTCTTAACAAAGACACTCTCCAATCCATTCCATCCTTGTTGGAAATAAATGCCACAGTTTTCTTCCATGGTTTGAGCAAACCATCAGAACCACCCTTCAGGTATGGATGACTTCTTGAGAGCCAAATCAGTAGTAGGATGCCTCTTCTCCACCATTCTCATTTCACCTTAATCTGCTTCTAGCTTCTCCCCTTCAACAATTCAGCACCTTTCAGCAATACATATTACATGATCAAAATTGATCACTATAAGCCACACTCTAGAAAAATCTACTCCATTAGGTTCATACTTTATACCAAGCAGATATGGTTCCAATTTTCTCTTTGATAAATCCATGCCCATAATTCTTCAGCACGCTGGAGATTCACCTCTGTGATGCTAGAGAAAAGGAGCTAGCCAACAACAACTTTGCAGAGCTAGAATATATTTTTGGCACAAGATGGAGACTCACTTCTTCATTTATGTTTGATGAGGTGGTACCTGTGGTGAATCAGAATTGCCTGAAGGAAGGTTCTGCATCTTTTGCCAAGACATTAATCAAATTGCATGCAAACAATATTTTTAAGAGACTACCTTTCTACATTGTCATTATTAATCCAACATCCGTTGATCTTCAAACCATTGAATTTGTCTGCATATTCTCTCCTACTGTGAAGTTCCATTTTATAGCCTGCCAAATTTATCAAAATTATTTTCCCTTCTGTATCTATTGGTATTGCATCTTACATTTAAGACTGCGTAATCTTTTTTATGTAAAGGTTATTTGACAAGTTGAAACCCCATCAGTAATTTAGAGTCATCACTAATTTGCTGCTGTAACCTGTAGGATTGTTGTATGGCCTGTTTTACTGTACTAGTCAACTAGCTCATATATAGAGTCCTTTATGTTTATATTTGTTCCCTCCCTTTGCACCAACTTATGGCTCAGGCCTGTCCCTTGCCACTGGAAGCAACTATGGGATTAGCTCTTGACTCCCACTACATTGTTTGGTAGTTCAAATGTCAACATGGTTCCCTTTTCTTTGTATCCATGTATGCATATTGTTAAGATGTCTCACATTGGTTAAGAATACAGCCAGAATACTCCTTATAAGGGTTAGGACAGCCTTCTTCCTTTGAGCTAGCTTTTGGAAGTAAGTTAGGTCCAAATTTCTTAACATGTTATTAGAGCTTATTCAGTTTGAACGTTGGGCTGCCTACAGATGTCCAGTCCTGCTGGGTTCACCCATGCAGATGTCCAGTCCTGCAAATTTCACGCACCAAATGTCCAGTCCTGAACTTGAGGGAGGTGTGTTAAGATGTTCCATATTGATTAAGAATAGAGACAAAATACTCCTTATAAAGGCTAGGATAGCCCTCCTCTTTTGAGCTAGGTTTTGGGAGTGAGTTAGGCCCAAAGTTCTTAATACATGCAATCATAAATCTACATCATTATGTTCCAAGTGTTGATCTTTTTTCATATTCTTATTTTATATTTTATGTCTCTTATGCATACTTATTTTGGATAAGATTCAATTATTTTCAAAGTTTTTAAACAGACATTGAAATCCTTTAACAGATTTCTTCACTATAACAGCCCCTTTGAGATATCTGTTTGAGCATTTTTATAAAGATGGCCACTATTCTAGAATCTGCCACTAATTATGTCAAGAGGTTGGCTCTCCTAAAGCTTAAACTGTTAGGTGAAGATTCATAAGGACTTTATTACATCTGCAATATGCATGTTCTTCACAAAAGAATAATTTTGGCAAGTGTGGTGAAAGCACTTGCCTACTTACCTCAAGTTGTTGGATACTTATCACATAGGTTCTAATATCTTGCTAAGGACATTTAAGCTGTCATGTGAAGACTCATGAATGCCTTCATTAAAACTCTAACAAACTATACATATCAGACTTTAATTGACACCCCCCCCCTCCCCAAACACAATATATATATATATATATATATATATGCTTCAACAATAGAATATGAAGATGGTTTGTTGTGTTAGGCAGTGTTCAACTAATATTCCAGCTTTAATCCCTACTTAGAAAGCCAAAATCCTGACAGTAATACTTAATGATAGGTTTTATGCAGACATAAATTCATCTTGAAAGCTCAATGTCAAACTGCAACTAAAAGTAACCTCAAATCTAAGGATGAGAGAGGGGACAGGATTTTGAAGAAAAAAAAAAACATAAAATGCTGAATCCCTTATATCATAATATATAGCCAACAAGATTACCAACCAGAGACATTAACAAGAAAGCTGAACAATTTTCAAAGAATCATGCAATCAATCAAAAAGAAATTTTTATGTCAGTTTTTTTATCTGGTGTTTAAGGAACATAATTCTCTATATCCCTTACTCCAAACACAAAATAAATAAATGGCAAGAGAAATGGGAAGTATTTTTATTTTGAAGTCAATTAACACACAATTGTATTTTTTTTCCTAGTAAAATAAATATAAATAAACTTAATAAAAAAAATTGCTAAATTTATGACACAAAAGAAAAGTGCCAGAATACCATCTACAAAAGGTAGGTAGCACTTGCTTAGTGAACCACACGAACTTGAATTTAAGAATAAAGTTGGGTTGCATTGCAGTTTTAGTAATTTAAACTGTGCAAATAAATTACAGCTAAAGGCAAACACAAGTGACTTCCTGTACCCAAAGGATGAAGCAATATTAGTCAAAACTCTGCATTATTTGTGAAATTACAAATAAATCGAACCTCTATTACTGATACTCCATTAACTGCCATCAGATCATATATGAGGTATCTCCTTTCCTGCCTTTTTGAATCTGGCAAAGTATCGATAATCATTTCCCCATCAAGTAAAGTGAACTGGTGTGTTTTCTCAGCCAAGCCCTTGGAAGCCATAGAAATGAACATCAGTTTGGGCACCATAATTTAAAACAGCTCAACAGATACAATTGGAAACTTCAATCACATATTAGCACACATACATCATTTGTAACCCTGCAAGGAAACCTCATTTGGACCCTTCGAAAATTGTAGCATCTATCAATCAAGTAACACCCATCCATAGTTATTAGCATCATATATCTTGTTCCATCAGCTTTCCATGTTGCATAATAATAACGCTGTCGTAACAGCTGTAGATTATCCCTGCATACCAAGTAATAACATTTAACATGTACAGATAAAAGGCAAATCAATAAGGAACTGTGTCTTGAAAATAAATCCTGAAATCAATTAATATAATCCCTATATTCACAGGACCATGGAAGGATATAAATAACTTTGGAAGCATTTTATTTTGATAAAATACGGAAAAGTGTCACTAATTGGTATAATTTTAACAAAGAAAAAAGGAATAGGGGTTTGTTGCCCAGTCCATATCTGTATAAATATAAACTCTCCAAATCCCCTCCAAAGTGTAAATTGATTTTGTCAGACTCAGGAACAATAGTGATTGTAGAACAGAAACAATCTGGTTCTATGAACAAATTTGCAGTACAAGCCTCAGCACTCAAGGGTTTCCCATTACAAGGATATTCTCCATCAAGACACAGCAAACAACAAAACTACACTCTGAATAATCAACCCCCACATCTAGAATATACATAAAACAAAATACCACGGTTATTAAAACTGGACTAGGCAGTTCAACTGGTCGGACTGGGAACTAGACCAAGTACCAGTCCAGAGTAACCACATAACCGGTTGTGCAAAAAAACGGAAAAACCATTAAGGCCAGTTAAGAACCAGAAAAGCTGTAAAAACCAGCAGTTCAATGGGTCACACGGTTCCTTGTTTTTTGCCCAAATGATGTCAAAAACCATGTTCCATGCTCTAGAAACACTGCAAGTCCACAACAGACCAACAAAAGTGAAGAAAGGGGTTCATTCCATGGCAGAACAGAAGAGAAGAAAGCCAGAAACTCAAGGTTTCATTCTCAAATCTCTTTGATTTTTCTGTTTCTTATCCCATATTTCATTCCGATTTCAGTATAATTTATATAATCTGTATAAAAATTTTCAGAATAGCAGCTGCTGCTGTCCCACTATGCACTATACCACTATAGCATTTTCAGGATCAGCCTTGGCCACAATCCGGGATTGATAACTATTGCATCATTTTGGTGTAAAGCACAAGGCCTTATTTTTTATGGGGTTTGTTGAACAAATATGGTAATGGATTGGGAATCTTTGTTGCATGAGTTTCTTTTTTTATTGGTTCTGTTTTATTCTCTTGTTTAGGAGGATTTTCTATTCTCCTTTCTCTTTATAATTTTTTCTCTTCATGTTAACAAATTTCTTTCTTGCACAAGGGAGATAACGGTGTGGCATCTATCAAGGAAATGACTGGAAATCAGTTGAAGTAGTTTGAACATATGCAAAAAATGTTATATGAGGCACGAGTGAGGAGAAGATTGCATGATTTTTAGCTCTATGAAGAGGGATAGAGTTACCAAGAACTTTGAAGGGTTGTTTGGGAAGGTGAGGGGAGGACAATTTTTTATTTTAAAATAAATATACTTTAAATTAATATCCTTCAAAATAAAAGATATAAAATGATATATTAACATGAACTTAATGTATTAATCATGTATTTATCATCATAAATGATATATAATTCTCTTAATTTAAAATTAAAAAATAAGTTCCCCCCTCCCTATCCCTCCAACAACTCCCAAAAAATCTCTGAAAGAAATTATTAAAAGAGATTTTATGATAAATACTATCTCCTAGAATTTAGTTTTTAACCAAATTAATGATGTGTGTGATCCATGTAGTTGATCTTATCTAATAGAATAAGGCTATAATTGTTGTGTTAATAAATTTATTCTTTAATGTAAATAGTGTAGCTCACTTGCAAAAATTCAACTCTGGGATCTAGGGAATAGGGATATAGAATTGATTTTAACAGTATCCTGGCACGACAAGTCACAAGCATGACTCATTTTCAGTCATTAAACAAAAAGGACAGAAAAGCACATAAGAAACCCAATGCTAATCACCAACATAATCATAAGATTAGTAAACGTATAAAAGCATGGTATAAGAAAGTATAGTTAAAGATCTAGCAGCCTGAGGTTTACTTCTGAATTATTATAACACATCACAAAATAACATGTTAATGGCACAGATAAGTTGGACCTGTTTAAAGAAACTGGGTGTGACCCTGGAAATTGCATGTGTCCTCTGGTCTGCATCATAAAAATTAGTAAAATGGCTATATATAACAAGCATAAAAGGTACACTAAGCAGGTGAACCACAAAAAGTAAAAGTGAAAGAAAAACCATGTTATCAGCAAATGAGATAAACATATTTGAAACATAATCGAACACAGAATTTAACAAGAATATAGGTATTGGATTTATTCATAAACATGCAAAACTTGGTGATGTTAAACCTACAGAAAAATGGAAAATTTGAGAAAATAAAAAGCATCGAGTAACTGAAAGGATTTTCACATAGACAAATATTTCACAAATTACTAAAAGCAATGGCATACCAAGCTTGACTAAAATGTCAAAAGCAAAATTGAGCATCTAATTAAAGACATGGTGTGCCTGTTTGACCTTGCTGTGAAACTTTGTTTTTTTGTTTTTTTTGGAAATTAGTATATGAAAAAAGCCAATAAAGAAAAGTGGAAATTAGAAAATATATATTAGAAAGAAATAATTTAGGGTATGTTTGTTTTCAATTTTTTTTTTTCTAAATATAGTATAAATTTATACTATATTTAGAAAACAAAAATTAAAAACTCTTTAAAAGAAAAATCAAACATATCCTTAGTATTTTATTTTATTTTATTTTATTTGGAAATTAGTATATGAAAAAAGCCAATAAAGAAAAGTGGAAATTAGAAAATATATTAGAAAGAAATAATTTAGTATAAATAATAGCCTTTTCTGAAAGTGATTTTTCTTCCTGGGAGAAGAACCAATTTTGCTTCATAACTGCTGATTTTTTGCATCTCACCTAAAAGCATTTTGTGCCAGTATCTTGAAAAATATAATGTGTTTAAAGAAGTCTTGTTGACTTTACAGCGTGGTGAAAGAGGCTCCAATTAGAGCAATCAGGAACAACATTCTGGCTCAAAACTAACATTTTTTTAACAAATGTAGTGAAACCTCTACAATGAAAGATGCTTATAGAATTGCAAACATTTTGCAAACATATAATGGCATGTCTAAGTACACAAAATAACAACACAATAGCCCAACAATGGGACAAACACAGACACAATACCAAATAATAGAGTAACTAGCAGAATGAATGCCCACCGATTCCTTCATGGCAATGTAATTGAAGAAACTAGAAAAGATACAGCAAAGCTATTAAAACAGAAAACATTCTAATTACATCACTGAGTTGAAACACAAAGGGAATCCAAATAATAAACTCCCACACAGAAGACAACCATTTAAAAGGCTTACCCCAAGACCTAGTTTGAGTGTTTGAAAGCAGAACTGACGAAATGCATCTTGCTGATCATTAGGTATCTCATCTCCCAAAATATCATCATTTGTCATTATCGTGTCAGTCTTGTGGTTCTCCTGATAGAATAGGAAAGATAACAAGATTTTATTACCATTAGACAAAAGCATCTAAAGTATGAAACTAATTAACAACTTTGTTCAAGAATGTAATAAGGTAACACAGTATTTGAGACACGCCCAAATTAAAATGGAAAAAAAATACTTCACATTTAAAATCTCAGCCAGATGTTAAAAAAAATGCAACATTATCTTCAATGACATATGAAATTCTGCGTTTGATAGAACCAATAATGAACACAAGGAAAAGATGAAAAGGTGGAAAAACAGAAGCAAATAACTTCTTCAGATATCCCACACTTCTTACAAAACCCATTTTTATAGAAAGTTTATTGGACAGAAAAGAGGGAAGTACAACTAAGAGGAGGTTTGAATAATTCTCAAAACAAAGAAGAGAACAAAGAGGAAAATAAAAAACTCAAGAATGCAACAAAGAGGTCCAATCTCTCTGCATAATGGAACAGTAAAATCCCTCAAAACAGCCATGAAAACACCAGCGAGAATTAGATGCCGCAATTGTAAAAAAGGTTACAAGTTTACCTTCATTCTACTCCAACCAAGTATATCAAAGAACAAAAAAAATTAGAACAGCCCCCAAATATCAGCCCTTGTTTCATCGAAAACCATTAAAACAAACCAAAAGAATATCTGGCTCAAAGTGAAGGTGCACAACCAACAAGCATCCAGCACATTAGATAACTTATTGCAAAAACTTGGCTATTCTAACATGTACAAACAATCAGCCATCATTGTTTCTGCACACAAGCGCAACCAACAGTGATATTAGATAACACAAATATATGGACAGTGCAGCAGATGCCTGCACCTACCCACCCAACCCCCCAAAAAAAGAACAAAATGTTTATGAAAAGTTAATAATTTAAAATTTTTTTGGGAAAAAAAAAACCTTCAAGTTAGCCCCTCAAACCCAAACCATGTTTCTTTCTCTCTCTCTTTCTTGAGTGTCCCTGGGAGAAATCCCTATCTCCAGCCCATTTGAAGCAAAACTAGAGAATTGCTAACCAGGCAGATGACTTGATCTCAAAGGATTTTTACATTTCTAAATGGACTCCTCATTCTCGAGAAGAAAACTATTAGGAGGACTAGTAAGAAAAAGGAACAAGACTAACACGAGAAGATGCACAACCTATTCAAATAGTATGAGATATCAATGAAGGCCAAAATATCATAATTCACTTTCTATATTATCCTTACATGCAAAGGAGAGCCTGGTATTCCATCATCATCATCATTATCTGGCACTGCTTCACCATTGAGATCAACGAGTTCAGGAGTTCTCTTCCACTCTGGAGTTGGAGGACAAACTATCATTTCAGGCTTTTTTTCATGATAAAATGCATACAATGCCTCAATGTACTCAGGTTTATAGATTCCTGGAGGGCGTGCATCAGAAAATACTTTTATTGCCTGCAGAAAAACAAATCAAAAGTATATATAAATACTGAACCCATGTCATGTCTTTAACAGAGATGTAAATCATATGGTGATTCACACTAACCAGAGTAACAGACATTGACATTTTGCGCATTAGATAATGGATGATCATGTATCCTGTACGATTATAACCATGTGTACAATGAACAAGTATATACTTCCTTGACTGTTTTTGACGAGATAGAAATTGTGTAACCTGAAGTTGAAAATAATCACATGGTTAAAAGCTTGTGACTAGAATGACGTTGCTATAATAAGACAGGAGAAAGCATCTTTTCCTTCTCTCCAAACAGGACAAAGCATTCACACACACACACACATATATATTTCAAAGCACGTAAAACAATGTTAAAGTGTGATAAATATAAAATCAACTAGTCATTGATTAGATAACAGATAATGATAATAATTTAGAATAAAAACAAAGTCCAGATGGTATAACAATGCAAGCATCTAATATTTACTAGAGAATCAATTTCACCTTAGCTTATATGAACTATTCAACTTTTTTTTTTTAAAAAAAAACCCTAAACGAAAATATGAAACCAATAAATCAAATAGTTTTGAAAGTCTCAAGAATACCCACTTCTGGAGCATGTTGCTGAGGTAATGTGTATGCTTATCCATGTAAAGAATCACATGCTAGCCAACCCATAAAAAAAGAAATGGATGCCACATTCTTCAAAATAACTCAGGAAGATTGCAACAATATTATTAAGAAAGAAACAAACCTCATAGACAAAATGATTAACAGATACATTATCAGGTACAGAATCACGGCCCTTGCACTGAATCTAAATCACAACAATGATCTTCAAAAGTAAGGACAAGAAAGAGAAGTCACAGTTTTAAAGACTTAATTTAAAAATTCAATTAAAAAAAAAAAAACTTAAGTTGGGTAGCATAGTTCATCCACTACAAACCTTAACATGCTTGATACCCTCTTTCTTTAGATCTGCTACTGGATAGTATCGAGAAGTATTTGTCAAATCAATTACCAAACCAATCTGCATGACAACAGAATAGCTTGAAAAAGGGAAGTTGAAAATGAAGCAATACCATGGGTACAAAATACAATGTACTGCTGGGGAGTATTGGCAAAGACAGTACTTAAAAAAAAAAAAACTAGATTGTGGCATTCTCTTTTTTCTTTCCTTCTTTTACAAGAATATATATATACCCCTTTCATTTATCATTCTTGCACTTAAAATTAAAAGAAAAGGAAGAAGAAACAGATTAATGTATAACAAACATTTGAATTTTTGAAAAAAGTCTACTTACTTTTTTCCCTAAAACTCTCTGTTGATGTATCACTTGTTTAAATGAGAATCTTTTACCAGGAATGATGTAGTCATTGAATGATTCACCAAGTGGAACCTTAGATGGTATCGTGCCAAAAATTTCCTGGCCACATGAAGGGCAATCCAACCAACCTGCATTTAAATAATAAAATGATAATACAACATTTTTTACTTCCATTTACAACATCTTAATCTGTCATAAAATATTGTGAATAAATCAAATGACTGAAGCAAAATATAAAATAGCAATTCCTCTAATATCATATTACACACCCTCCACTCAGCTCTGAAAGAACTCAAACTGCTTGTAACTTTAGAAAATCAAGCCAAATTTATTTACCATATAACAAATGTTAGAGTAAATTAAGAAGATTGCTATGTGACATATAATAAAATATTCTAAGAATAGTTTGACACATAGTAGTCAATAGCAGCAATAGAGGATGTAATCGCGGAGGAGTAGAGCGGAGCAGCACCTTGCTGCAATTCTGGGGCCATCGTGTTGTGGTTCAATATAGCGGTTTTCGCGCCACAATTTGCAGCCATGAAAGGGGGAAATCGCAGCCATTGTGGCCACTATGCTAAACAAGGGCAAGTCTGTCCTCCCTTTCTGAAAGTTGGAATACTTTTTTAAGAGGGACAATTTTGGAATTTTGTGTCAATGGAATTGATGAGCAAATTTTCTGGTCATTAAAACCAGCAAATTCACAGCTGCACATTTAATATGCAATTGTATTGTACAACCGTAACTGTTATTCTTTTCTTAATTAAGATTGTAACTGTTATTCTCTCCTTAATTAAGTTGTAGGATAAATGTAAATATAGCCGTTTAGCTAATTATTGGGCTGAAAATCAGCTTGTATTAAACAGTATATATATGAGAATTCTCCAGCAGGAGAAGACAGTTTTTCTGCCTACACTTCTCTAAGTTTGACATGGTATCAGTATGGCTTACGATCCTAGCCTAGCCTAGCCCTGTCCCAGTTTTTCCGATCATTGTCCTAGTCCAAGCTTTTATAGTCCTTGTTTTTTTTTTTCTCAATTCTATCCTAGTCCAGATTTGGTCCTTAGTTACCATTTCATTTTCTTTAGCATCATGTCTGTTGAAAAGTATGACGTATTATTGGTCCGCCTAAATGGCAAGAACTACTCAGCCTGGGCATTCCAATTCTAGATATTTGTCAAAGGAAGAGATCTTTGGGGTCATGTTGATGGTAGCACTCCTGCTCCTAACAATGCTCCTAACAAAGACCAACAGAAGGATGAACATCGCAAATGGGAGGTCAAGGATGCTCAAGTCATGGCGTGGCTCATAGGTTCTGTGGATCCAAACATTATCCAGAATTTACGACCTTTCAAGACTGCAGCAGAAATGTGGGCCTATTTGAAGAAAATCTATAGTCAGAATAACACTGCACGCAGATTTCAGCTTGAACATGACATCGCCATCTCTCAACAGGATAGTCTCTCTATTTCTGAATTTTACTCTCATTTCATGAATCTTTGGGCAGATTACACTGACATAGTTTATGAAAATTTGACTTCTGATGGTCTTACTTCAGTGCAATCAATTCATGACACTACTAAACGAAATCAATTTCTTATGAAATTGAGATCCGATTTTGAAGGTGTCCGATCTAATCTCATGAATAGAGACCCTATACCCTCACTAGATACATGCCTCAATGAACTGCTTCGTAAAGAACAGCGTCTTCTCACACAATCAACCATTGACCAACAAAGCTTCTCTACTGTCCCAGTGGCTTATGCAGCACAAGGAAAACCAAAAGGCCGTGACATGAGTGCTGTTCAATGCTACTGTTGCAAAGGATTTAGACATTATGCTTCACACTGTCCACAAAAATTCTGTAGTTATTGCAAAAAGGATGGCCATATTATTAAAGAATGCCCAACAAGACCACCAAAGCGATCTACAACAGCTTTTACAGCATTGGCTGGTTCCTCTACTTTTAGTAGTTCTACGAATATAGCCTCTGTCCAACATCTTGCTCCTGCTCCGGTTCCAACATTGACTCCTGAAATGGTTCAACAAATGATCATTTCTGCATTCTTTGCCTTGGGACTTTCAGGTAATCCTTTTTCTACATCTTCACCTTGGTACTTTGATTCTGGGGCTTCCAACCATATGACAAACAATGCTCAATTTCTTACTAATATCACCAAATATTCTGGAAATCTCAAGATTCATACTGCTGATGGAAATCATTTACCTATCACAGCAACTGGTGATATTTCTTCATCTCTAACCGATGTTTTTGTCTCTCCTGGTCTGACTAATAACCTCATTTCTGTTGGTCAATTAGTTGACAATGGTTGTATTGTAGAATTCTCAAAATCTGGTTGTCTTGTGCAGGATCAACAATCAAGGAAGACAATCGCGACGGGGCCTAAAATTGGACGCCTTTTTCCACTTCATTTCCCTTTGTCTCCAAATCTTTCTTTACTTTTTGTTTCTTGTAATTCTGCTACTATTGATTATCAGATATGGCATAAGCATCTTGGACATCCAAACTCCAATGTATTGCATCACCTGTTAAAAACTAGTTTTCTTGGAAATAAACAGTCCCCACCTCTTCATGTTGTTCAATTTGATTGCCTTTCTTGTAAATTTGGCAAAAGTAAAATTCTTCCTTTTCTGACACATCAATCAAACATAGACAAACTTTTTGATATGATTCACAGTGATGTATGGGGGGTGGCACCAATTATTTCTCATGCAAGTTATAAATATTTTGTCACTTTCATTGACGATTATAGTCGTTTTACGTGGGTCTATTTCTTGCGCGCTAAAGATGAAGTATTTTTCAAACTTTTTCATGCTTATGTTCAGACCCAATTTTCCTCCAAAATTAAAATTCTTCGCTCTGACAATGGAGGGGAGTACATTTCTCATTCTTTTCAGAATTTCTTGCAAACTAATGGTGTTATATCTCAAAGGACATGCCCCTCAACCCCCCAGCAAAATGGGATAGCCGAAAGAAAAAACCGCCACTTGCTTGATGTTGTCCGCACCCTGTTATTGAAGTCTTGTGTGCCACCTCGGTTTTGGTGTAAAGCTCTCTCTACTGCTGTTCACCTTATAAACCACTTGCCATCTACATCATTAAATAATGATTCTTCTTTCATCCGGTTATTTGGTCACCCACCCAATTATTCCTCTTTTCGAACCTTTGGTTGTGTGTGTTATGTCTATCTTCCTAAACTCACTGCACAATCTGTTGCATGTGCTTTTCTTGGATATTCTCCTCACCAAAAAGGTTTTCTCTGTTATGATCCTAACCTTTGTCGGATTCGAGTATTTAGAAATGTCATCTTTCAGGAAAATAAATATTTTTTTGTAACTTATCATGATCTTCTCCCTTCCCAAATTTCTATTTTGCCATTGTTTTCTACCTCTTCTGCAGGACAGCCTTCATCTAGACCTCTCTTAACCTACCACAGACGAAGTCATACCACTTAAAATCAGCCACCAGATCCTCTTGGGCCCCCTCAAGATTATTCCTTGGCTGCTGATCCGGTACAAGGGCTGCAACCAGTTCTCCTACGACGAAGTTCCCGCACTCGTAAACCCCCAGAAAAGTATGGTTTTACCTCTCCCTTATCCTTGACAGCAACATTATCATCAATCCCTATTCCTTCTTCTTATAAACAAGCAATGGAGCATGAGTGTTGGCGGCAAGCTATTGAGACAGAACTCCTAGCACTAGAAGAAAATCAAACATGGGATGTTGTGCCATGTCCCCCATCTGTTAAACCTCTCGGCAGCAAATTTGTGTTCACAATAAAGCTTCGTTCGGATGGGTCCATAGACCGTTACAAAGCTCGTTTAGTTGTGCTAGGAAATAAGCAAGAATATGGACTTGACTATGATGAGACTTTTGCCCTGGTTGCCAAGATGACTACTGTGCGAACCATACTTGCGATTGCTGCATCACAATCTTGGCCATTACATCAAATGGATGTCAAAAATGCATTTCTCCACGGGGACCTCAAGGAAGAAGTTTACATTAAACTTCCTAATGGTATGTCCACACATTCACCTAATGCTGCTTGCAAACTAAAACGCTCTTTATATGGCTTGAAACAAGCACCTAGAGTATGGTTTGAAAAATTTCGATCCACATTACTTGGCTTTTCCTTCACACAAAGCCAATATGATCCGTCTCTTTTTCTACAGAGGACTTCTAACGGCATTTTGGTGCTTATTGTTTATGTGGATGACATTGTCGTGACCAGTTCTGATCAAGCCGCTATTTCTAAAATTAAACACTTGCTGCATTCAACTTTTCATATGAAGGAGCTTGGCCACCTCACTTACTTTTTGGGGTTAGAAGTACATCATCAACCTAAAGGGATATTTTTAAATCAGCAAAAGTATATTCAGGATCTGGTTCAGTTAGCTGGCCTCACCAATGCAACCTCTGTTGACACTCCGATGGAAGTTAATGTGAAATATAGCAGAGATGAAGGTGAACTTCTCACAGATCCCACTTTATATCGCAAATTGGTTGGTAGTCTTATCTATGTGACCATCACTCGTCCGGATATTTCTTTTGCTGTCCACACAGTGAGTAAATTCATGCAATCTCCTCGACATTTTCATCTTTCAGCAGTACACTGCATCATACGATACCTCCTTAGCACCTCCAAACGTGGTCTATTTTTTCCGCTGATTCATCTCTCCAACTCCAAGCATATAGTGATGCTGACTGGGCTGGCTGTCCAGACACAAGGAAATCAACTACTGGCTGGTGTATGTTTTTAGGTAATGCTCTAATTTCATGGAAATGCAAGAAACAAGATTCAGTTTCCAAGTCATCCACTGAAGCAGAATATCGTGCAATATCTACTGCATGCTCTGAAATAATTTGGTTACGTGGTCTCCTTACAGAGCTTGGATTCTCTCAAGCCCAACCAACTCCGCTGCATGCTGACAACACCAGTGCCATACAAATTGCAGCAAATCCAGTTTATCATGAACGCACGAAGCACATTGTGGTTGATTGTCATTCTATCCGAGAAGCCTATGATCGCAAAATTATCACTCTACCTTATGTCTCAACATCTGTGCAGATTGCTGACATTTTCACTAAAACTTTGACACGTCAACGACACAATCTTCTTGTTGGCAAATTGATGCTTGTAAACTTACCAGCATCAATTTGAGGGGGGATGTCAATGGAATTGATGAGCAAATTTTCTGGTCATTAAAACCAGCAAATTCACAGCTGGACATTTAATATGCAATTGTATTGTACAGCTATAACTGTTATTCTTTTCTTAATTAGGATTGTAACTGTTATTCTCTCCTTAATTAAGTTGTAGGATAAATGTAAATATAGCGATTTAGCTAATTATTGGGCTGAAAATCAGCTTGTATTAAACAGTATATATATGAGAATTCTCCAGCAGGAGAAGACAGTTTTTCTGCCTACACTTATCTAAGTTTGACATTTGGGCCCCTTCTATATGGCAATGTGTTTCTCTATCTTCACAAGTCAAGATCAAACCCTACCTTGTTCTCTTGCTTCATCATCCATACTAGTCAATAGCGGCAATAGAGGGCGCGATCACGGATGAGCGAAGCGGGGCAGCACCCTACTGCAATTATGGGGCCATTGCGTTGCAGTTCAGTGTAGCGGTTGTTGCACCACAATTTGCAGCCATGAAAGGGGAAAATCAAGGCCATCTTGGCCATTATGCTAAACAACAGCAAAAGGGCAAGTCTGCCCTCCATTTATGTAAGTTACAATGCTTTTTAAGGGGGGCAATTGTGGGATTTTGCCTCCTTTTACATCGCAATGTGTTTCTCTATCTTCCCAAGTCAAGATTGAACCCTACCTCGTTCTCTTGCTTCATCCTCCATCTCAGGTGTCATTTCTGGTGCAAGTCACCATTTCTGACCAAGTTTCAGTTGTTTTCTTCATCTCCGGTAAAACCCAACTTATTTCTAATGTAAGCAAAGACGTTTTCTAGTTGTCTTCATCTCCAGTGAAACCCAAGCTATTTCCAACAAGTTGTAGACATTTTTTTATGATAGTGAGACATTTTCCAGTAAAACCATCTACACTAGAACATTTTCCAGTGAATGACCACTCCTTGATTTATTTTCTTTCTTTGTTTTGATTATCTTCGGAATAGCAGTTGTTAGTGTTTTTGGAGTTGGCTATTACGTGCCACTATCCGGGATCGACTACTATGGTCTGACGTAAGTATAGAAATGAAATTATACTAATGGCTGTCTGAGTTTACCAATTCTGAAAACAATAGCATTATTTCACACACAGTTATCAATTTCAGATAATGGCGTGCAGCAGCCAACACAAAAGAAGCTATAGCGGGATGATCACTATTTAAAAATTCTATATACAAATTAAATAATTAATACTATATATATATATGGTAAAGAAAACTCAATTTATGACATGTTCATAATTAAAAATAAAAGGTTAGAGGTCTTAAGCAAAACATACAAGTAAATAACAATAAAAGTAAAAAATCTGACCAAACTGTTTTTTAAGGGCAAAAGTGAGTTTATCATTAAAAAGCTTCACTTTAGCGGCACTAGCTGTGCTATGTCTACTATTTTGGCCACTATTGCAGTCACTATTTGAAAATGTTCCGCTATTCAAATTTTGTAGCAGCCTGTGGCCACTCTGTTTTGCTAGTCTTCTATAGCCTGTTATTGATAACTATGATTTTAAAATATTAAATTGTTGATATGAAATATGAATGAAATAACATTACTAATTACTGCTGACAAGCCAGTGAGTCGACCAGGGAAAGAAATCCTTACCAGGAGGAAGCTTACTTCTATCATATGATTTAAGGATCTTAGTATGAAATAGCTGATCATTTCCAGGTGATCGTGATACTAGCACAGATCTGTCATCTGATCGTTCTTTTTTCAATCTTCTCTTTCTTTCTTCACGTTCCTAAATAGAAGTAGGAACTCAGTAATTGTGTCAAAGAGACATTTAAAGGTAAAATATAATTGACGACTCATGGAATCCAAAGAATCAGAGGAAAATGCAGCATGCATATCAAACAGATATAAGAAATCTTGTTAGAGACATCAACATCAACCAGTTTTAATCAAGAAATAATGTAGCAAAAACCCAATTTGAGAAATGTTATTTTTCCTTATAATTTAATTCTTTCTATCTAAGGTTGAATGAGAAAGTGGGAGGAAAGAAAGAGAAGTAGGGGAGAAAGATAAAGAGAAAATATAAGTGTTCAAAACTTAGGATTTCACGAAGTCCTAGACCATTCAATTCAAATACAGTATCTAAGCATCTACAAAAGTGTCAACTCATAAATTGCTTGACTTAGATATGATGTATCATTTGAGTGAATTGAATTCAACTTTCCTTTTATATGGCAAGACAGTCAAAGAAATATTTAAAGCAATCTCGATTGTCCAATCATTCAAATAAAGCCAATTAAAATGCTCAAAGGTCAAGGCAGCATCAAAATCGGCTGCTGCACATGAGCAAGTGCATGACTGCATGGGTCTACTAACTTTCAGGAAAAATAACAAAGGAAGTTTATGAGAAACATTTACTAATGCTGCTGTAGAATCAGTTTAAATACTTTTTTTATTGCAATGCAAGATATACAATTTAATTCTTTCCAAATTTCTAACAGATCTCGATAAAAATTATAAATTATATAAATTGATATTGTTCCATGCCAAGGGATGGTAGCATCCTCATTTATAGTTTCTATCCAGTATTACCAATATTAAAACTCATTATCCAGCTTTGCAAAAAAAAAAATATACTCCTTCATAAAACCAAATGCAATTAATTTACAAACTAAAATGACCCATCAAAAAGAAAGTAAAGGTCTATAGAAACTGACAAAAATCCTGTACGAAAATAACTTTATATGAACCATACCAACAAATGAGAAACCACAATCATAGAACTCCAGGGCACCATGAGTCAAAGCCAAATTAGAACATAACATTGTCAAATGGAAGAAACAACACAAGAATAGAGGAAAGAGTACCCGGCGGGCAATATCAACTGCAGTTTCCATGCGCTCTTCTGGCGCATTGTACTCTTCAACCTGGCCACCAAAATCATCTTCATCTTCCTCTGGCACAGGCAAGGCATTCAAGTCCATAGCAACTATCATTGAGCAGCACTAACCAACATTCCCCCGCCACAGTTTAATTCAAATAACCCACATATGTTAGTACCTATAATCCTTCTACCTGCAACATTCAAACAGAAATCCTAGAATTAAGCAAGAATGCCTGAGAAGGATTTCTTAGGGTGCGTTTAGGTTAACTAAGTAACAACTTAGTTAAGGACTTATTTAATAAGTTTTTATTACATGAGGACTTATGACATAAATTTGATCATAAAACTTATTGGAACAAGCTGAAAAGAACTTATTTTGATAAGCTATACCAAAAAGCTTATTGAAGTAAACTAAACTAATTGAAGTCATAACTATTTTCATAAGGTTTTCCAAATGCCTCCTAAAAACAAACAGAAGGCAATTTTTACCAGTTTATTGTTCAAACATAATAATTACTTGATTCTCCTGACAAAAAAAGATCCAGATAACAAAAAATTCCCTCCAACCCACTCAACTAAACACTCAATTTTGATCCAAAAAATAAATAATCTGCTTCTCTCTCTCTCTCTCTCTCTCTCTCTCTCTCTCTCTCTCTCTCACTCACTCACACACACACATCCTCCCAACTCCGAGGACCAACCCATTTTCAACCTAAAAATAGAAAAATTCACCTCAACATTCTCAACTGAAGCTCAAGAATTTGTAAAACTGAACAAAGCGTTGAAGGGTAGCTAACGAACCTCAACAGATAAACGAAGTCGAAAACGACGAATTCCCTTGGCGAAACGAAATTTCGAGCACGAATTAACAACCCCTCATTCGCGTAATAGTAAAAGCTGAAACTCGCTCGACCATAATGAGAAGGAGTTTGAATAGAGCTTGCTCTGTTACGCAATGAATGGAATTGGCATGAGTGAAGAGCAAGAACCCTACTAGAATTGGGTCGCAAAACGCTTCTCCCTCGTCAGAGTTTTAGTGTCGAAGCTCCCAACCCTACAGGGAGAAACAGGAGGAGAGAGAGAAAGAGAAGTAAGGTGTTGTTTTGTTTGCTGTTGCTGAGGGACAGAGACGAAGCCTGGAATGGACGAAGAAATAAAAAAAGCAATTCGAAATCCGTCAGTTACAAAGAGACAAATATTATATGTAGAATTATCTTAACGTTATATTAGTATTTTCTTTTTTTTTTTTTGCTATTTTTATATTAGTATTTTTAAGTTCAAATGAAATTTAAAATTATATAAGACAAAGTGTGTTTAAAAAACTTAGTTAATTTAAAGTTTATTCTTTTTACCTAAAATTCTTTTCCAATAAAAATAGTTTTATCTGAGGAGGCAATTGAACGATACTTTAATTAAAATTTTTTAAAATGTTATTTTTTAATAATTGTTTCTTTTACTTTTAAAATTTATAAAATTCCATTATTTTTATTTATTTTACATTCAATTTTTAAAAATTATTTTTGTTTTTTAATTTTATTAAACTATAAAAAATTGTTAAATCTTATATTGTACAATATTTTTTTTTTTTGCTAAAATTGTACAATATATATTATCAAAATAGTGTAAATTAATTCCTATTATTTCATTTTAGTTAAAAAAAGTAGTTTAAAATAAGATTATAAATAAAAAATGAATGATAACTTTACTTGTCATTTTATATTTATGTCAACAACTAATTTTATTAAACACTTTTAATTTATTTAACTAATTTTTTAACATTTATCTTTAGATTAGCATATATATTAACTTTATCAAACTCACCCAATTGACATCATGATATAATATATAGAAAGAGAAATATTCAAAAAAATTTCATATGTTAAATGTAAATTTTTACTTCATTTAACAACTATTCATAAAATATAAAATTGATTATTTTAACTATTAAATTTTTTTATTATTTTAAAAATTATATATATTAATTTTTCATATAATTTAAATATTTATATATTTATTATCTAAAAATTTAATATTTACTTATATTTTAAAACTATATTATATGTTAAAATAAAATATTATAATAAAATATATTAATTTTATTTATGTATGTAATCTATAAAGTTAATTTAAAAAAAATCAAACTAATAATTAAATTGATTATTTTTATATTTAATAAAAATTAATAAATAATATAAGTATTTAAATTTCACATTTAATGTCAAATACATGATTAGGTATGTGTCAAACATATTATATAAAAAAAGTATTTTTAAATATAATTTTAAAATTTATAACAATATTTATGTGTTAATTGTTAAATTATATATATATATATATATATATATATATATATTATTGAAAATTGTAAAATAATAAAATAAATAAAAATAAAAATTCATAAATTTTTAAGAGATTTAAAACTCATATATTATTATTTATAGTTTAATACCATGCATTTGTATTAATGTAGAATTTGTTGATTTAGTTAATACATAAATTAATAAATAATTATAATTATAGTTAATAAATTATTAAGAATAATTCATATATAATAAAAGGAAAAATTAGATTTTTTTAATGGATAAAATATTTAAATTATAAAAAATATTATAAAAATTAATTAATGAAATTTTAGATTAATATCATAATAAAAATGTTATAAGAATCATGTAATGAAGTTGATTGTTTAAAGTTTTGTTTACCGGTGTCATCTTACATATCAAATATAATATTTAATTTCTTATAAAAAAATTCAAAAAATTTATAAAAATTAATATATAATATAAAAACTATATTTTTTTATATATGAATTAAGATCGTTATATATTAAAAAATTATAATAAAAATATTAATATTTTATTTATTTATCTAAAGGCATGATAAAAGATAAAGATATAAAATTAAATAAAATGTTGTATTAGTCAAGAATTGAGTATTATGAAGATAAGATTGAATTATAATACATGCTTTTGTTTTTTAATTAAGTTTGGTGTCCTATATTCTTTTGAAATAATAATTTGTTGAAATATACATATAATTTTGATATAATAAAGACTAAAATGTAACAAAGTACTTATTAAAAAAAATGTAACATAATACTCGAATAAGAATTATAATGTAACTTTTAAAAATATATGAATTAATTTATAAATAATTATTTATTATAGAGACTAAATATATAATTTAACTTAATTCTTAAAATTTTCTATTTAGTTATCTTTATAAGTGACATTCTATATAAGTTGTTCAATATACATCATGTTTTGAATAACAAATAAATAGTAACTCAATTTCTTTTTTATGTTGTAATTTTGGAATCTTGAGTAAAATTTTTTTAAAAAATATGAAATTACAAGTATTTAGCTCATGTTAATAACCTTATCTAATTTAAAAATAGCTAGAAAACATGTACCTTGACTCCTCCCTATGACAAAGCTTTGACTTAATTGGTAGAAATAAATCTAAATTGATAATGGTTAGTGAGAACATTACTAGCTATAATTAAAGATCAAGCTTTTGTTTTGAACAATTTAAAGATTGAACCTCTAATTTAGTTTTTAAGATTAACATTTTAGTTTTTGTGATTTTAAAATTCATATGTTTGTCCATTACTTTTGTTTTTATCAATTACTTCAGTCATTTAGGACACACACTATAAACATAATATAAAATATTTACATATTATGTTAAGTGGCATATATAATTGATAATGTGTCGAAAACAATAACTTATATAGTATGATATATGTTTTTACTTTATTTTAGTCATTAAAATAATCAACGTTAAACATTTAAATATCTAATTCTTGAAACATTTCATTTATTCATTCTTTTTTTTTTCATTCTTTCCTGATACTAACATTATTGGAAACCATCATCTATAACTTTCATCCACATCTACTAATATTAATAACTATCAGAATACTCCTGTGAAATTAATTTTATTCGAGATTTTTAAAACCTTTCATATGTAACAATTATTTTTATTCTTCATTCTTCCTTAAGACTACCATTTTCTAAAATCATCTCTTTGGAAACTACTATTATCATTCATCATTGTTTGCTTTTTTTCTCCAACCAACCCAATATTAAGAAACTTTATGACCACAATCTCGTTTGGCTCTCTTTCTCTCTCTAGAGTTTTTTTCCCTTTCAATTCTCAAAATTCCAACGATTATGGTAGTTTTCTATGGGTTGGAAGCAATGAGATAGCAAAACAATAGTAGTTATTCAAGATTCAATTATGGTCAAGTTTTTTGGTAAAATCATGTAAAAGAGTGTTTAAAATAATGGTCAAAGTATGATGAATATATCAAAGTGGAGTGTTTATTATGATGTGAATGATGAAGAGTTTGAGAAATACCAAGAGAGGAAGTGAAATGGAGAAAGATGAGGATGTTTTAGAGGCAGAGATCAAAGAATAAGCCTATATGGTGTTGTCTTTCTTGTTTGAAAGGGTGGTGTGTAGCTAGGAGAGAGCAAATAACATCATTTTTACCATTTATTATTGTGATATATTAATTTTATTATTATATATTGAAGATGTGCAGGACAAAGTAATTGATAGAGATAAAGCCAAGAACTAACATGAAAATTTTAAAATCTTAAAAGCTAAAAATGCTCAATAGTAATACTCTTAAGACTAATTTGAGAATTCACTCAAAATTAAAAAGACTTGATTAAATGATAAATAATTTTTACCTAAAATAATATTTAACTAACATAGCAGAAAACAAAAAAAGATCAATTAAGAATTTCTTATATTTTATAGTAAGGAACAATCTCTAAAAACTTGTAAGTCAAAATAAAGTTATAAGAAAAAATAAAAACAATTAAATCATACCGCAAATATTATGTTCGTAGTGCTAAATAGATTGAATCATCTCTTTCATATATTTAATTGAGATAATTAATAACACGACTAGGTAATATTTCATCATGATAATAATAAAATATATTAAAGATACATTAAGTAATATTTCATCATGATAATAATAAAATATATTAATAACATGACTAGGTAATTAATAACCTTTTTATTAAGATACATTAGGTAATACTTAATTTTTTTTTATAATTCTTCAAATTTCTTAGCATATTGTCTAACTAAAAAATAATAACTCTAGTTTTTGGATCATGTTTCAATTATTTGGAAGAAGATATTTTGCAAGAGATTAGATTTTGAAAATCTCTTAGGTAATTTCAATCCTAACATCTAAGAGATGTCATTAAAACTTATTAAATGTTTTAAAATCATTTAAAATGTGTAAAATAATTTTTAGATTTTTAATTATTAAATGCTTTATATTTTCATGAATATTTTCTATATTTAAATTTTTATCATGAATATATGATAAAAAATAAACTCTTCTTTTAAAGTTGCATCGTAAACAACAACATTATAATATAATCATTATGTTAATAAATATAATTGTTTAATTAATAAAAACATCATTGTAATATAACCCAAACAAAATGTATTATAATAACCATTCTTTCTACTTATATGTAACGCTCCAAATTTTGGTAATATTAATTATTCTTATTATTCATATATATATATATATATATATATATATATATATATATTCATATGTGTGTTGATTTATTTAAAAATAATGTTTATGCGTATTAAGTACATAGATGTATATATATACGTGTATGTATGACTGGATAAGCTAAAAATGGGCTAAGTGCCTAAGTACAGCGCGAGATACTGGGCTGTTCTCACTGTAGCGAGAAGGCCCTGGGAGGAAGAACTAGAACTGTCTCCTTTTCGCTGCAGCGATAAAGCGACAGTTTGGAGTGCATTTCTGGGTGTAGTCTCGCTGTAGCGAGATTCTGCAGAAATCAGAGTGCAATTTTCTCTAGTTTTTTCGCTGTAGCGAGAGAGCGTGTCGCTGCAGCGAGGTCCCCAAAGGATTTAAAGGGGGCTAGAGTTTGGGGAGAGTAATTTCTCCCTCTCCCTTCAAAATCCCTTCGATTCTCTCACTCCCAAACCCTATTCCACCGATTAATTGCCTCCAAAGTCGTTTAGGAGCAAGGTTTGTGTGGGGAACGCTTGGAGGTGAGTTTTAAACGGTTATGATTTTCATTTTTCCTTCCCTTTCTCTGTTTTTGGTAATTTTTGGGGTTCTTATGGAATTCTTCCATGTGTTTAGGCCGAAAGTCATGTGGAGAGCATTTCTGTGGTTGAGTTCAGGCGTGAGTCTTCAATCCAAGGTAAGGGGGGACTCTACCCTACTCCTTTATGTGTGATTTGCTGATATTTTGTGTGATATTGTGATGTAGCTGAGTAGAGAGCAGGAAATTGCTGAGATATGTGATGTGGGCACTTGTGCCGTTTATACATGTGTGTATATCTAAATGAACATTGTGAAAATGTGGGCCCGAGGGCCATGTAATATGAATGGAAATAGGCTAGGGGCTGTGTGTCTTGAATGAATTGTGGGCTATGTGCCGTATACTGAAATGTGTGTGATTGGGGCGTGTAACGCCGTTGTAATGTGTTGTGAATGGTTCAGCGATACACTGGGATGTAAGAGATAAGGACGGTAGAAATACCTTGGGGAAGAAGGAGTGGTGGTGACACCGACTGTGGAACGGGTGCACCACGGGCCACACACTTTCTTCCTGACTATTACCTTTGCTGAGCGACCCGTGACTGCCCACATGGTATCCGTGAGGCGGGGTAACCGATGACCATTCATGGTATAAATCTGTGATCACAGTGTTAATGTGAGTGTGACTGACGTGAGTATGCATGAGTTCATGAATTGTGCTTATGGATGTGATAATGTTGCTTGTGCTTATATTTGTTTAATATATTGGAAATGTGTTGGAGGTGATACTCTATGCTTAATTGTATGTTTTGGTAGTGTAGAGTACTTACTCTTATATTCATTTTTCAGGTAATTAAGACGATCAGCACCAGACTCAGTGAAAAGGGCCGATGAAACTGCTATAGAACTAGGATTTTAATTTAAAACTAATCTATTTGAATGGGTCTTGTAGTAGTGACTTGATAGAAATTGTAACTCATTTCCTTATTTTAAAATATTTGATGAAATCAAGGATTGAGAACCTTATTTGAAATAAAATTTATTTTATTCTGAATTTGTGAAATTATGATTTATTGAAATTAAACATAAGGTGTTACACTTTTTCTCTTTGTATAATGAATAACATTTAATTTTAGTTTCTAATCATGCTTAATTCAAACTTAATTATTAAAATTTTAATTATTATAATTAATTTTTATTGATTAATTTTTTCTTATCAAACTTTTCTAATCATTATTTTTATTTAAATTTTAATAAATCAAATTCTTTAAAATCTTATTATATTTAAAACATCAAATTTCATGAAAAATATAAAACAATATTTATCAAGTTTCTAAAATATGAAGAATTGAAATTATTTTATATTTTAAATTTATTTTTAAAACTTAATTATTTGAGGAAGAAAAACAATACATTTAAATTTAAGTAAAACAAAGGTTTAGTTATAATGATTAAAAATATAAAATAAAATAAAAATAGAAATTATTAAGAGATTGATGAAATCATACATTAATTGCAATAAATACTATAAAATATAATTAATGATGAAAAATTATTACCCTTGTAGGAATGTGAACCAGACGGGACAAAGTGGGAGCAGAGTATAGGACCATATATATATATAACTAAATCAATGTGAATTATTATACTAACATGTCATTATAGAATAATATAGAATTAAAATAAATTTTTCATCATAAAATAATAAAAAATTATAATATTTAATAAAATAATAAAAATATATTTTATATGTATGAAGTACTCATAGAACAAATAATACAATATTGATGAGAAAAATAAATTAAATTAATTTTTAATAATTTTTTTGCCTAATAAAAGCTATTATTAAATGCTCATCAGGCCTCGAAGGCCTCGAGAGTTATGAGCAAAAGTCAACTATATATATTCATCAGTTTTTATTGATGTGTAGAAAAGATACATTATAAAAAATTATAATATTTAACATATTAATGTGTTAAATTCTATAATATTTTAATTTTTATTGTATAAATTATTATTATATATTGTTGAACGAATATTAAAAAAAAAAATTGTTATTATAAGACAAAACCTTAAACAGAATTCAAGTTGATAACTCACGATAAGGTGAGTCATTTATCCAAACAAAATTATAGCTTTTATTAATAAAAAAATTATTAAAAACAGGCTTGTAACTATAGCTAAGTTTTATTGCTTATTATATCCCCTACCATTTTATTTTTCTTTGAAAAAAAAAAGCAAAATAAAAAGGGTATTCCCTTTTTCTCACATTCCTTCTTGCAAACAATGCAGCTGTTTACCTTTTAATTCGATAACAAAGGATGATGACAGATGAATCTCTATTTACAAAATCCCCACCCCTCTCTTTACAAAATCATTCATATTTCAATAATTATTTATCAAGTTTCTAAAACATAAAGTAGTCAAATTATTTTATATCTTAAATTTATTTTTAAACATTGATTATTTAAATAAAAAATTGCCTAAATTTCTTAATTAAATAATTTAAAACATAAATCTTTATAAAAATGTAAAACCAAATTTAAATAGAAATTATCAAAAGAATGATAAAATCATACATTAATTGTACTAAATACTGTAAAAATATAATTAAGTAAGAAAAATTATAATCGATTATATTGCTTTAAAAGGAAAAAATTGAGAAAAAATTTAATTCAAATTTTATATCAAAAATAAAATTTCCCTAATAAAAGCTATTATTAAATGTTCCCCTGGTCTTGTAAGTCGTCACCAAAACTCAACTATATATTTATTATAAAATAAAACTTATTTATTCTTGTTCCTGTAATTTAATCAATTTCTTAAAATAATTTATAATAATATTAAATATAATTTTTATTTGAACAAAAATTTATTTTTAATTAAAAAATAATATTAAAAAAATGTGTGTCCTAAAATATAAAATAAAATTTTATTTATAAAATTTTATATTAATTTTTTGTTAAAATTATAAATTTTTATTTAAAACTTTATATACGATAAAATTTTAATCAAAGTTACGTAATATTTTAAAATTTTAATATATTAATTACATTAAATATTAAAATTTTTAATAAAAATATTATTTATTAATTCATTTTCATATATTTTCGAGCAGACATTGAAAATAGCGAAAAAACATTAAAGTAACTGGCCCTTCTATACACTTTAGTTTTCTTAAAAAAAGCAAAATAAAAAGGGTATCCCATTTCCTCTCATTCTCTTCTTGCAAACAATGCAGGGGTATTCCTTTTCCTTGTAACGAGATCTGATTCTTTCTCCTTCAATCCTTTATCCTCTTCCCCAACCAACAAAAGCAAAAGATGATGATGACAAAGCAATCTCTATTCCACAGCGCACTCCTCACACTATACCTCATAGCTCCTCCAACGTTCATCTCTCTCACCTTCCTCCAAGCCCCATACGGCAAACACCACAGACCAGGTTGGGGTCCGAACCTGCCTCCACCCCTGGCATGGTTCCTCATGGAAAGCCCCACTCTCTGGCTCACCCTCATCCTCTTCCCCCGTGGACCCCACTCCTCCGACCCCAAAGCTATTACCGTCATCACTCCTTTCCTCTTTCACTACTTCAACCGCACCATCCTCTACCCCCTTCGCCTTCTCTCTACTCCTTCGACTAAAACTGCATCTGGTTTCCCTCTCAGCGTCGCTCTCATCGCATTCGCTTTCAACGCGCTCAACTCCTACGTGCAGACCACGTCCCTCTCTCGCTACAATCACTCCGCCGACGTTTCGTGCTTTTGGTGCCGCTTCTTTTTGGGCTTGTTGGTGTTCCTGTGTGGGATGTGGATCAATGTTTGGGCTGATAGGGTTTTGTTGAAGCTCAAAAGTGAGGGGAAAGGGTACGTTGTTCCTAAGGGAGGGTTGTTTGAGGTCGTTTCGTGTCCCAATTACTTTGGGGAGATTGTGGAGTGGCTTGGGTGGGCCGTTATGACTTGGTCTTGGGCCGGGCTGGGCTTCTTTGTCTATACTTTTGCTAACTTGGGCCCCAGGGCGCGTGCTAATCACCGCTGGTATTTGGAGAAGTTTGGGGAGGATTATCCCAGGAAAAGGAAAGCTGTTATTCCTTATTTGTATTGATTTTTCTTCATGCCTTGTGTAACTCGGGAGTTTGTAGAGGTCAGAGGAAAAATTGAAAAAAAATAAAATTGAATGTGTTGCATTGCTGCAAAACTTGGATTATTGGATTGACATGATTATAAGGGTTATTGTTTTTTTTTTTTTTTCATTTTCTGTTTTATGTTACATGGTTTTTAGACTTTTTACTAAAGGGACATATCACATAATTTATGGATTGATCTTTCATTGATTTTAAATATGAAGAACTTGTCATGTAAGTTATAATATGATAATAACTTTCGTGTGTCAAAGTAATTAAAAGATATTAAAATTTGACTGTTTGTGCAACCAAAATTGGTATTAGAAAAGATCATATTTGACCATATTTTGTGTACATGTACGTAATTCTGGCTAAATAACAAATGACTCCAAATTGCACCCGCATCCATGATGCACCACTTTGCTCTCAAACTATGGATCAGTTACCTTCTTTGAAAAATTGCAACATGCTCCATCCTGAAATGTTGAGTTGTTGTGATTGTGAGAGAAAGAAATACGGAGGACATCAAGCAAACAAGAAGGGACCAACAAAGTCTGATGTGGCCTGTGGGTATGGATATGGGTTGGTATGGTTACAGAGAGGAAGATAGAAAGCTTTGCATGAGAGCATTGTAATTTTAGCTGTGGATAGGTGCAGGGAACTGGTACTCATATTTAAGAAAGTCTGATGCGGATGGGGCACATCAACATCTGTACTTAAAGTTGTGGATAAGTACTGGGAATTGGGAGATGGAATTCACTAGTCACAAGGCATGATTATGTTTTTCTTTTTAAATAAAAAGAAAAATTGACACATTTGTGAACCCAATGTTGTCATTTGATTAGGCTTGGTTGTTGTTATTATTGCTGATATCATTGATTTTGCTGTTGATGATATTAGTGATGATGACTTTGCTGGTTGGACTCAGAATAATAGTGTAAAATCACCTCTAAAGATGAGATTTTTCTGTTTGAGACCTAACTCACTACGTGGTAATTCAGCACGGTATATGTGAAGCATTGTTGGAGCTATGTGATTGTAACAAAGGGTATTTTGACGACCATTATCAGTTGTTATTCCCATAAGGGCAATAAATATAAAAGCAGATTAAGCGGCTATAGGATTGCTCTATTGCTTGCCCTTTACCATGTATGATAGATAGTCTTATCTTTTTCCTCTTATATCTGCTTTACCTTTTCTTATTACAATTTTAAGTTATGATACGATGAATATAACGCTACCACTATCTGTCCCTTGATAATAATGTACCATATAAACATTGATGTAGGTAAAGCTGTCTTGGTCCTGGGTTTGGATTTTGCAGTTGCAAGATTTTCCTTGAGAAGGTAAGCTCCAATAATTTTATCAGTTTTTTTACTCCATTCTCACATATAAATTATTAACGTATTAATGTAGTAAAAACAAGGTTGAGTGTTTTATCAGGCAATACAGATTACAGGACCGTATTGGTAAGCATGTATTGTACATGACAAATTGTTTAACTAGTAATCTGCAAATTAGGGATAATAGAATCTATACTTGGAATCTTAGAGATTAAAGTGAAGGCTTCCCAAAAGGCTGAGAAATCCCTTTCATAATTAGAGTTAAGGCTGTGGAGTCTGGAGTAAATTGAAGTCTTGCATTCTAAGGAGTAATATGCATCGGTTTCTTTGATCCATGTTCAATGTTCAATAAATAAGGGAGAGGTGTATTGTTATGTTGAAAATTTGAAGTGATTTCACCCAGGTAGATCCATCTTCATTTCTGCAAGAGGCTGAGGCAAGCAATGCAAGGCACAAGATGAAAAATATGTCAAGGCATTGAGACATTCTTTTGGTCTTACTAGCTATTTTCAGTGCAAAGTTATGTTTTCTGAGAATTTTAATAGTGATTTTTGAAGGATACAACGAGTAATTTACTACTTAAAAACTAAGAAAGAATAGTCAAAATTCAATATATGCTTTGCGGGACATTTTTTTTAATGTTTGAAACCTAATAATTAAAGAAAATAGCTGAAGGTTTAGATATTTCAATCTTGATGCAAACATTGAAGCGGGCAAAGTTCAAATATAAAAAATGAAGTGTTTAACCTTATGCTTAAGGAGAGATTAATTTATTCAAAATATAAAAAATTGAATAAAATTTCTGAGTTTTGTTATTTCGTTTAACTTTAGATCATTACATTTATAATTTTAAATGTTAGTTTTTAAGATTAAGATAGATTGATCATTTTAATCTATATTGTCAAAATATGTTAAAATATGGTAATAGAATGATAATTTGTTGTGTTAAATGGTATTTTAAAGTTTATTTTGAATACAATAATGTTATTTTAAGATTGTTTCACTAACATTAGATTTTTAACCTTCATAAATAAAAAATAAAAATAAAAATAAAAATAGTATACTTTTCAAACAATTTACTAAAGTAGTTGGCAAAATGAACAATAAAAATTTGCAAATTAATATATTAAATTGTAATATTTTTTATATGATATAATTTTTTAATAAGTGAATAAATATATTAAATTTAAGTAACATAATAAATTTAGTAAAATAATAAATTAAGAAAAATAGTATATTAAGTTATGTGTAATGTAAAACACTTTTTAATGTTGTTATAGTTTAAAAAATATATGTGCTTGAGAAAATAATATTTTAATTGTTATATTGTATTTAGTAACATAATATAATATAGGAAAGAATATAAAAAATTTAAATTTCTAAATTATATTTAGTTGAACAAATAAAACTTAATATTAATGTTGTGTTAATTTAAATGAAATGTAGATTAACACAATAATGGGATAATATTATTTCTTCCTTACCTCTAATGTACTTAGATGAAATAGACAATTGAAGAGCAGTTGCGTCACTTTTTTCTTCCAAATTTGCATCATTCTAATTCTGTTATGTGACAATTTTGTATGAGTCAATATATTCCTAGTGAGTCAAGATAAAATGAAAGTATACATAACATAACACTTGGAGGAAAGACAAACAAAGACTAGTGTAGAATTTACTCACCCTACATTGATATGTGAAATATTAGAGCAGAGGGTAATGGTTACGAATCCTCCACAAATTGGGTTAGTACAAATTTTGACTACATAAGATAGTATAGAAACACACATGACATTGAATTACTTAATATTACATTATTAAAGGAAACATGATAAGTAATATTTTGTTTTGCCTTACATGCCTTTCTTTATGACACTTTATAATCATATTGATTGACTTACCATCCTTTACCAAATATAAAAAATTAATATAAATACATTTAATAATACAATCAATATAACTCAATCTTTATTTTCATTAAAAGTATGTATAAAATAATTTAATACAAGTTAAAATAACAAATCCAATTAAGACCTACCTAAGATGTATGAACAAATAAATTCTAAATACAAATTGATATGATCCAGTGACATCATGACATTCACACAATTATGTCAACCACAACACTTACTAACAACCTACATTTTTTTAAGAAGTGATCTCTCACTCGCCATGGGCAACCAACACTATTATTTTGACACTTTACTTCTAAAATATCAATTAAACAATATGATTGATGGATCTTCATTCAATATTGTTTAATTGCTATTTAAACAACATATTTTGACTCAAATTGCAATCCAACAAATAAATCATCACCCACTTCCTAAGAATGAACTATACTTGATTATGCAGATTCTATTTATTCATCAAGATGATTTTAATTAATGTATTGATAATATTGACAATCATTCCAAGATGTAATTTTATCATTTCTTGAGAATATAAAAATAATATTAAAAAAATTACTTATTTTAACTTCAAAATTAATCACTCACATACATATTATTTAAGCTTGTTGCAAATGACCAGTTGAAACTTAAGTACTAATTTCCCTTGACCGAACAATTGAGTCAAAGCTATCTTTAATATCAGTGTCATTTTCACTTCCATAAGGAATTTCACCCTCATCGATATTATCATCATTTGTTTCTATCATATATGATAAATTATAATAAGGACTATAATTATATGATAAAGAAATATCTTTAATAGAGTAACTTGAAAATATAATTAACAAAATTTTGTAACATCTACCAATTACATAATTATAAAATTAATAATTTAATCTTTACCTAGTATATCACTTATAATGCTTGAATAATCAATGCAAAACAACTAACTAAATCAATATATCAACATGTAACTCAAACATTGTCATTGATGATTATTTCTTAAAAATATTTATCATACATTTAACATCTTTGTCATCACATATTTGAAATTCACTATATTATTTTCTTTATGGCACATAAAAAAATATACTAATCACACTTGAAATAATTTCATTCTCTTTCAATTTTATTTTAGAACTATTTTTTTTTATTTGAACACACAACTACAATAATTTGGCTTAATTTTTTAAATACTTTTTAATTAAAATACATTAACAATTAATATATTTAAAGCCAATTCATTTAACAAAATTAAAACAATGTAAACTTAAAAGTGTAGAGAAAAAAATAGGACAAAGAAAGGTATACTAGTGAGGGGATATATATATATATATCATTAGTGATGCCTTATGAAGCACAAGTTCGACATTTTTTCTAGAGTACTGGTATCACATATGGTTTACAGGTACAAACACTATTAGAAACACGTTGATTACATAAGAATATTTTTTGTTAGTAATATGATGGATTTACAGACGGTAAGTAAAAAAAATTAATTTTTTTATAAAATTTTTGGTAAAATCCATCTGTAAATTAGAGATGAATTTTTCTGTTTATAAAATTCGTCTATAAAAAGCCCGCATTTTGGGACATAACATTACAAATTGACATTACAAATGAAAAAATCTATTTATATTTTAGAATATATTTTTGACCTTTCATATAACTATTTATAAAAGGAAAAATTCGCATGTAATTTTGAGCTAGAATTATAGCTGAATTTTTTGGTTTGTAATGTGCGGAATAGATCAAAACTGTGTCTTTCCTTCTTTTTCCTTCTCATTTCCATTTTTTCTTGTCTCTCTCATCTCCCCCTCTCTTTACC